ATTCAATCCCTTAAATTACAGATCAGTTGAATTATCAAGTAATAGTTTATTATTTAAAGAAATGCCGTTAGAAATGTTAAAACCATTTCAATGAACCCATTACAATGAATAATCATAGAATGGGTCTATCTGTCGAAACATTTAACAACTTTACATCGCTGCATCAATTCTTTGATATCCTATCACTAAACGATGACAAAAGTGGCAATACTTTCATATCAGTTATAGAATCCAAAGAATATCCAATCTATGCAGTTATGTTCCATCCTGAAAAGCCATTGTTTGAATGGTACGAAAAAGAAGATATCAATCACTCAACTAATAGTATTAAATTCAGTCAATATTGTTCAAACTTTTTCATTAATGAATGTAAAAAATCCTCCCACTCATTTTCAGATCAAGATTTTGAATATAATTCTTTAATTTACAATTATATTCCAAAAAGATTTAAAAATATTAAAACCTACCAACAATTATATTTTTTTAATCAAACTATTTAATCAAAAAAAATAAATAAATAATAAAATAATAAAAATAAAAATAAAAATAATAAAAATAATAAAAATAATAAAAATAGTAAATAAAAAATAGAATTTATTCAAATATCTCAAAAATAAAACACGATATATTTAGATATTATCAAATATGATCAAAAACTAATGGATATATATAAATTATCCAAATATATTCACATTCATAAAAATAATAAAATAAATATTTAATTTAAAAAAAAAATAAAAAAATAATATTTTTTTAATTTTTTTTAATTTTTTTTTTTTTTAAATTTTTAAAATTTTTTTTTTTTTTCAAGTTTATATTATTATTTTTTTTTAACACTACTCATAAATTTTAATATAGTTTATTTTTTTTTTTTTATTTTTATAAAATTACTCGCACGCACACACGCATACACACCCTTTCACCAATAACAAAGAAAATACATTATAATATCTTTTTATTCATTATATATTATTTTTAACTTTTCAAATACTATATATTTAATACAGCTAAGGAGATTTAATAATAATTCAACATATAAAACATAATAGTATAATATAAATATATAATGGCTGATGCTGATAAAAGTTTTAAAGTTGTTCTTCTAGGTGAAGGTAAAGTTTTAATAAATATTTTTATGTATAACAAAACAAAAACAAATATATTAACAATTTTTTTTTTTTTTTAATTTTTTTTTTATTATATGTTAATTTAAATAGGTTGTGTTGGAAAAACATCTATAGTTTTAAGATATATACAAAATACTTTTAATGATAAACATTTAATGACACAACACGCAGGTTTCTTTCAAAAAAATATAAATATAAATGGTAAAAGAGTTTGTTTAACAATTTGGGATACAGGTAAGTTAAACTCATACAAAAGGAAAAAATATAGATCTGGTTATTTTATATTAACACCTTTTTATCATATTTCAAATAATTCGTTCGTTTTATATATATATATCAAAATTAACAAATAAATATAGCTGGTCAAGAAAGATTTCATGCATTAGGACCAATTTATTATAGAGGTTCACAAGGTGCTCTTGTTGTATATGATATTACAGATAATGATTCTTTCATTAAAGCAAAGAATTGGATTAAAGAATTAAAAACAATGTTGGGAAATGATATTTCACTATGTATTATTGGTAATAAATGTGATCTAGAAAAAACCAGAGTTATAACTTTAGCAGAAGCAGAAGCGTAGGTTTATCATCGATATTATTTATTATATCATAATAATACTAATTAGTTTTATTATCTTATTTATCACCATTTTAGATATGCAAAATCAGTAGGAGCAATTCATTATAGTACTTCAGCAAAATTAAATAAAGGTATTGAAGACCTTTTCTTAGATCTTACTAGACGTATGTATCATCAAAATCATATTCTTTTCATACAGTTTCTTTTTTTTTTGTGGCATTATAATTTTGTGCGAACTGGAAAAACACTTGAAAAAATCACCTAAATTTTCAAAAAAAAATTCATAAAAATATCTTATTTTTTATAATATTTTTTTATCAAAACTAACTTTTTTTTTTTCTGGATATGCAGGAATGTTATCAAACGTTTCAACAAGCACAATACCATCATCTAGCAATACAGCACAAACTACAAATCGTTCAGAAAGAATTCCAATCGTTCCAGATAATGAACCTACCACTAAACCAGTTTGTTGTTGAAATTAAATTTAAAAAACACAATTTTATAAATACATTAAAAAATATAAAAAAAAAATAAAAAATAATACATAACCACAAAACAAATATTCTAAATAATATATAATTTTAGCTTCATATTATAGATACAACAAACATAATATTAAAAAAAGATTCACCATTCAAGATCTATAATAAACTTTTCTCATATCACCAAACATACATAATCAGATACATTATTGGATAAATTAATTTATCAAAATAACAAATAGATAAAAAATAAAAATAAAAAAAAAAAAAAAACATTTTAATTAACCTTTTTGTAAAATTTATAAAAAAAAATAGGACATGGTTGTTTAGAAAATTTTTTATTTTATTTATTTTTTATTCAGATTTACAATGTATCATATTATTTTTAATTTGTTCTACTTTGCTTTCAATTTCTTTAAATAGTTCTAAATTTTCGGAAGATTTTGGTTTAATTTGATCCAAACACGACCCAAAAATAAAATCTATATCTTCTTTTGAGAATTCGATATTTACACTTTGATTTTTGATATGAAATATAAATGATATCATCGAGGTTACCAGTTTTTTTAATCTTTCATCCTTTAACTCCTTATGTTGTTCTTTATGCTGATGCTCTTTATCAACATCATTTATAAATTCTTCTGATTTGGTTTTATATAGTTCTATTAATTCTGGTAATAATGTTTTCTTATCATTTGTTTGATATTCATCAACTTTACTCTATATAAACAAAAAAAACTATATTAGTATGTCTTTTAAAGAGTACATAAATTAATGATTATTACAATTCTTCTTGTATAGTTATTTCTCCTAAAAATTTCTAATAATGTTTGTAAAACACTGTTATGATATTCTATACTAATTAATAACTCGGAATATTTCTTTTGGAAATCTAAAGGATAACCACTAAGTACCATCGATTTTGCTTCTTCGTTCATTTCATGAATTTTTGATAAAAGATTTTGTTTTCTTTCTAAAACCTCTGTTAAACCAACAACCAATGTTACAACTTGATCGGGATGTGTTAATACTGTATTTATACTATTGTTATTATTTATGTTATTATTAATATTTTTGGTTGGTGAACTAAATTTATTAAACTCTTCAAATTTCCTTTTATATGGTGTACCTTTATATGGACTAGAAATGTTATTTCCATTAATATTATTATTAATATTATTGATATTATTATTGATGATATTATTATTGATAATATTATTATTGATACTATTATTATGGTTATTATTATTATTTTCGTTTGGTTGATTCTTTTCTTTTGATTGCAAATGACTTTGTTCAATACAATATCTGACATCTTTATCAGCCGACATGACTTCTTCATCAGGTATTTCAACAACTTTATTTGTTTTATCTGAAATTATCGAATATGTTTTTGAAATTCTATTATATGATACAACTTTTCCATTTTCCAACGCATCATCATATATATCTAAATAAAATAGAAGTTAGTATTATAAAAATATTTTATTATTTATGATTTTAAAGAATACAAACATAAAACTTTTGAGTTTGGTTCAATTTGTAAAAATTTTAAACTTTCATTACTCATCATTGATTGTCTAACAGCCTCCCTAGTCCTATCTAATTTATTTCTAGCATCATAATAAAACTGTTGTGAAAGTCTTCTTGGTTTTCTCATTCTTGATCTAATTGCATTCCATTCCATTCTGGTAAGTTTCTTTGGAAGTTGTAATTGATGAATAAATAGTTGAAACTCATTAAAAAAAAAAAATGGTGTATCCAAATCGCTATAAAACCATTCATAAGTTGCCCAACGACCTGGCTTTGATAGTTTTAATTGATCATTATTACTGCTGATATTATTACTTAATGATATTATTGATTTGGGGTTTGGTTGTTTTTGTTTTGATAAAAAATTTACAAGGCGTTTTTGAATAATATTTTGATTTTCTTTTGATGGAATTAGTGCATTATTATCTTCGATTTGAAAATTATCTGATACTGGTGACTGTAATATACTATGTTGAAAATGTTGTTGCTGTGATGTAAATGGACGCTGTGGTGTATTCGAAGAGGATCTTTGAAATTCTAATAGATGTTTGTGGTCATCATTGTCCTCATCCTCTGGTTGATCTATTCTGTTATTATTATTCAATACACTATTTGGTGACATTTGGAAGTTTTCTAACATATGTTTTTGGTTTTTAATTTTATTTCTTAATTTTGCTGGTAATGATGGTGATCCATCCCTTACTGGTGAAGATCTTTAGAAAAAAAAATGTTAATTAAATGTTGTTATATGTTAATTGATAGTTATATAATATAATCATACTCTTTACTATTTATTTTTCTTTTACTTGGGGAATCAAACTGTGGTGTTGTTATTGTTGCTGTTGTTGTGGTTGTGGTTGTTTCTGATGGTGGGAAAAGTCTTCTTGCTTTGGGTCTAAAATTATTATTTTGACCTAAATTATCAATTGAATAAGAGCTATTATTATTGCTATTATTGTTTGTATTGTTTGTATTGTTACTATTATTACTATTATTATTACTTATATTAAATGTATTATTGTCATAAATAGTTCTGCCTCTTGAAGATGTTTTTGTTGGTGATTGTTGCTGTTGTTCTCTTAATGCTTCTTTTTGTTCTCTTAATGCTTCTTTTTGTTGTTTTAATAGTTGTAATTGTTGTAATTGAGAATGATGTGGTGGTAGTTTGGTAGTTGGTTGTGATTGTAGAGATTGCTGTAGTGGTTGTGGCTGTTCGACTATATTGTAAAGCTGTTAGTATTTTATAATATATTTTATATAATATTTATAAAAATAATTACTTTGTGAAAACACTCTCTGTTTATAAACACCTTGAATGAAAAATAATAAAAATTCAGGTGCACTGTAACTTGAAATTGGTTTGCTAATATTGTATATTTGTTTTAACATCTCCTCTGTTCTATTTGGGAATTTTTTTAAAGCTGTTTTCCAATCTACCTCACCTTTTTTTGCAACTATAAAATTGAATTTATTAGAATTAGTTTGTTTATTATAATTTTAATTGAATACTTTTAATAAATATCTTACTGTGAAAAAAATCTGTAATTTCTTTTAAATCCCAAGGAGGCCCTAAATTTGGATGGTTATATGTATCTTCTTCATCATTGTTTCCATTATCATCTTGTTGCTGTTGCTGTTGCTGATTCAACTTTTTTCTAGGAGTTGATCTTCCCCTTAAAGGTGAACCCTCTATCATAAGATTAATTTATTTAAATTATTAGTTTAAATAGATTTTGAATGAAATAATAAATATATATTTTTTATTATTAATTTAATTTAATATAAATTAAGTGAGAGGTTTCTCGCGCTTGAAATTTTTTACATATAAAAATTTAAAAAAAAAAAATTTTAAAAAAAAAAAAAAAAACAAAATTAAAAAAATATAAATAATTTAAATAAAACATACTCATTTTTTATTTTGTTTGAAAATAATTTTTATAGATATAAAAAGGAACAATAAAAATAAATAAATAAAATATTAAAATATGAAGATATGAAGATAGCATAGCATATATACTATAGAGTGAAAAAAAAAAAAAAAAAAAAAAAAAAAGTTTTAATCCAAAATTAATTAATAAAAAAAGTTAAAAAATAAAAAATTTAAAAAAAAAAAAAAATTAAAAAAAAAAAAAAATTTTAAAATAAAAAAAAATATTCAAAATAAAAAAATTAAAATTGCCTTTTTAAATTTATGCATTTTAAAAGATATTTTGAAATGATCAACTATAACAGTAATAAAAATAAATAAAATAAAACACCACAACGATCACAAATAAATTTAAAAATAAATACAGTTTATTTATAATTTAGAATTAAGATAATTATTTCTAGTGAAATTACCACCAACTTGTTTACAAATATTTTCATATAAATCACCATCTTCCATACCCAATGGGGACTCCATCAAATGTTCTTCATTGCCAAAACCTTTAACGAGTACAAGTGCGTTTTGTGATAATTCTGAACATAACTGACCAACTAATTTAATAATAGCCTTTGCTTTGCCCTTCTTTAAGTAGTTGCTATTTCTAAAGAATTCTATATATTAAAAAAAATTAAAATGTTAATAAATATATCTATCATTCATTCATTATTTAAAATAAATTAATTTATATTTACCAAAATCTTGTCTAATAATATATAAACCATATAATTGACAAAGTTTCTTTAAAGTTGATCTTACTTCAATATCTTTTTCTTTGTTGATAGATTCAATAAATTTGGTGACAATGACAGTTTCGGTGTGGGCTTTGGCCAAATGAATTAAAATTTCTAATGATTGGTTCCATGCAGCAAATGAATCTTTGGTTTGTTTATAGTTTTTAGAAACGGTTTGAGCTGATTGAATTAAAAGTTTTGAGGATCTAAACTCCATTGAATCGAGAAGGAATTGGAATGAAAGAAGATGAGCATCATCACTACGCATTGTGGTAAGAGGATTCATACCACTGATAAGAAGACTAGTATTCTTTCCTAAATATTTTAAGGTACCGGTAAATTTGTTACCACTGTATTCTTTTTTGAATTGGGTTAAAAGATCTTTAGCAACTTGTTGAAGTAAAAGAGTGTTGTCACCTTCAAAAGTTCTACCGACATCTACAGTTGCAATAAGACGGCCATATCTAGAGTAACTACCATAACCATGACCACCACAAAGTCTTCTCAACTCCATTAAAGATACGGTTGTGTATTGTGAAATCATTGCCTTTAAACCTGATGCTAAAACATGAATCTCTGCTTCATCAGTTCTTTCTTGGAAACGTCTACCTAGATAAACTTTAATTGCATCAAATGCATAGGCACTTGCAATCATTGGCATTATAGTAAGTTGATGTGTTGGATAACTTAAGATAGGTATTTCTGGTCCGGTGCTTGTTGGTCCAAACTGTAAACGTTTAGATGCATATCTGGTGGCAATAATTAAACCGGATTTTAATGTACGTCTATAATAGTAAATGAAATAATTAGAAACAATTAACAATAAGGTTTAAAAATAATAAAAATGCTATTGTTCTCAACATACGTAGTACCAAATGAAATTGTGATTCTACCAGTAATCATTTGAGCTAAAATATTTGCGAAACGACGTGATGGACTCTTAATTGGAGAACTATAAACACCACCTTCAACTGATCCAAATCTATCTAATAAATTGGTTGCTGGAATTCTTACATTTTCAAATTGGATCCAACCATTATCTACACCATTTAAACCAAACTTGGCACCAACATCACCAATCCTTATACCTGGTAAAAGATCAATACCGTTGCTCTTTCTAATGGGTACAAGGAAACAATGGACCTCTTGATCTTTACCATCAATGATTAATCTTGCAAAAACTGATGAAATAGTAGCATGGCCAGCATTACCAATCCACCATTTAGTCGATGTTCTAAGTGGTGTATTAATAATAAATTCGTTGGTCTTTGGGTCATAGGTTGCAGTGGTTTCCAAAGATCTAACATTACTACCATGGCCCAACTCTGTCATTGCGAAACAACCTAATAATCTACCACTTTGAATTTCTGGAAGTAATTTATGATGTCTTTCAGTACCCAAGTTAAAAACTGCTGCACCAAATAAGAAATTATTTACAATTAATTTTGTCATTAAACCTATAAAAATAAAAGAATAATAAAAAAAAAAAATTAATATTATAATAATTTAATATAAAATATATTTATGAATTTTATATTTACTATCATCGTCAAATTGAGAAACAATATCCATCATTGCTAAGATTTTGCTTGGATCTTCACGGAGATCTGTAATTTGAACTAAACCTTTATCAAAGATACCTTGGGCAATTGCTAATAATTGTTTTAAAGTTTGTACTCTTTGCTCTTCTTTTCCTAAATTAACATCCCCATGAAAAAGACTCTTATCTGACATAATCCTATTTAACTCATCTCTGATCTTTAAATTAAAAATGGTAAATTAAAAAAATGAAAAAATTAATTTAAAAAAAAATTAAGAGCCCCAAATAGGTCCAATCAAAATTAATGATTTAAATATTTACATTATGATGCTCAAACCCTTGGATTGACCAATTCTTTAATTTTTCTGTTAATGAAAGTTTTGAAGTTTGATCTTTTGGATTTTCATTTATGGCTGTTGGGAATGGTAACATTTCATTATAACCTTTACCTATTTTGAATGCATCATTTGCATTGATTTCACTACTCTCCATTTTGAAACTTGACATGCTATATTATATATATATAAATTAAAAATTAATAAAAATTCGTTTTTAAAAAATAAGTAATAACAAAACAAAAAAAAATTCTTATTATTTTTTGTATTAAAAAAAAAAAAAAAAAAAAAAAAGTAAATCTAATGAAAAAATTATAATTTTATTATAATATTATAATATATACTTTTAATCTTAATATTTTTATTACAATAAAAATTAAAAATTTAATTTGTGTTGTTGGTTTTGTTTTTAAAAATATAAAAAAAAAAAAAGTATTGACAATAAAATATTTAAAATAATTGTAAATATGATATGGATACTGAATGAAAACTATTATAAAAAAAAGTAAAAGGATAAAAAATTATAAAAAAAATAAAATTTTATTGTTTTTTTTGTTTTTTTTTTATTTTTTTATTTTTTATTGTTACTCTAATGTGACCTTAACGAAAAGTTTTCCCCATTTTTTTATTTTTTCTAAAATATCTGTAAATTTTTTTATAAAATTTAAAAAAAATAATTTAGTTTTTAAGTTTTTTAGAAAATCATGACGACATTGATGTTTTTATTTTTTTTTTTTTCTTAGTTTTTTTTAAAATAAAAAAATAATTATAGTTTTTGATTATTTTTGTAAAGAGAATGCAGTAATTGTGATGTTCTTCGCACCCACTCATCCACACACATTTTTAGAACCATTGTTAAAACCATACAGATCAATTATTGACACCCAATTCATAAAGGTTATGTTAACATAAAAGGAAAGGGGATGGTAGATCTAGGAGCACAATTTAATAATGAGTCAGCTTATTGAGTACCCAGATTGATTTCCCATGCATGGGAAATTATAAAAGTTTTATATTAAAATTGGTATTTAAAAAAATTTGTGTATTTTATTATTTTATTTTATTTTATTTTATGCCACGTTGCAATTTTTTGAGGATATCATTTTTTAAAAAAAATTGTTTTTTTTATATAAAAATCTTGGATATTTTATATTGACCTGGTATGAAAAATGATTTTTTTATTTTTTTTTATTTTTTTATTTGGTTTTTATTTTTTTATTTTGGCCATAGGTTTTTTTTTTATTGATATTTATTTATTTATTAAGCTTTTAGAATTTATTTATAATTGGTTCCTATGAATGCATGGTTACCTTCAAGATGGTAATGTTCATAACTTGAGTGTTCATCAGGTAGATTTCCTTTTAAATATTCAAGTGCACCAAAGATACGGTTAGATTCATCAGAAATATATATTTCTACTTTATCCAATTCCATTTTTTGTATTGCAATTGCTGGTAATCTATAAAAAAATTAATTAAAATTAGTAAAATAATTATATTTATAGTTATATAATAATTATATTAATATAGTTACTTGTAATAATGTGTTACTTTAGATTGAATGCAAACATGCTCGTATGTTTCAGAGGTACCAATATAGCTTTTAAATAATTCCTCTTTAATTCTTTCTGTATTTTCTGGAGTTATAAAAATAATAATTTTATGCATATTTAATAAATATAATAGTTTTCTTATATTACAATATAAAAATAATATAGTAAATTAAAATTGGAATAAAAAAAAAAGGCAAATAAATAAAAAAAAAAAAATGTAAAAAAAATTAAATTAATAAAATTAAATTATAATAAAAATTAAATTATTTTAATATTTAATTAAAAAAAAAATGAAAAATGAAAAGTGGGGGAGAAGTTAATTTTTAATTTTATTTAAAAAGATTTGTTATACGCAAATCATAATTATTTTTCAATCATTGTAAATTTATGTCATTTTTATAATTACAATAAAATAAAAAATAAAGCCATCACGATGATTAAAAATAATAAAAGTGATGATTGGAAAAAAATAAGATTTTTTTTTTTTTTTTTTTTTTTTTAATTTTTAATTATATATAAATTAAAAAAATTGAAAAAAGATTTTTTTTTTTTTTTTTTTTTTTTTTTTTTCTTTTAAAAAGTTATCAAACTATAAAATGGTTTTAAATAAAGAAGATAAAGAGTATATCAAAGAATTATTTAACTCTTTAGATAGGTAAAATATAATAATTTTTATTAAAAATAAAATAATAATAAATACTAATTTTTAATTTTTTTTATTCATCAATTAAATAAATAGCAATAGAGATGGGTATGTTTTTTTTTCAAATTATAATGTAATTATTATTATCTTAAAATTCTAATTTCTTTTTTTTTTTTCTATAGTAAATTATCAAAACAAGAAATTACAGAGGGTTTTTTTAAATTGAAAATCCCATCTGGTGAAAAAGATGTTCAAACATTCCTTGAACATGTAGATGCAAATCATGATGGTCATGTTGATTATGCAGTAAGTATTTTATATTTATTACATTTAAAAAATATAGTTATTAATTTTTTTTTTAAGGAATTTGAAAAATTTACAAATAAAAATATTAAAAAATTAAAAGAGGTTTTCGATTCATTAGATACAAATAAAAATGGTACATTAGATTTATTTGAAATACAAGAAAGTATAAAGAAATTAAATTTACCAGTATACAGTGAACAAGAAATTGTCCGTTTATTTAACCGTATTGATAAAAATAAAGATAATGCTATTGACTTTAACGAATGGAGAGAGTTATTAGTAATGATTCCAAATACTGGTTTACAACATATTTTAGCATTTTGGAAAGATGCTCAAATTTTAGACGCCAGTTTTGATGGTGGTGGTTCAATTCCACCAATGGTAGAAACAAAAGAAAAGAAATCTGCTCTACAAAATACTCTTACTGTAAGTAACCATTACTATTTTTCTTTTCCTTTTTTCAAATTTATTAATATTTTAATTTTCGAATTTTACTATAGTATATGATTGCTGGTTCAATTGCTGGTGTTGCTAGTAGAACATCAACAGCTCCATTGGAAAGAGTTAAAATTATGTATCAACTTAATCATTCTCGTCACTCAATGTCATTTTTACAAACATGTAGAACAGTTTGGAGTGATGGTGGTTTTAGAGGTTTATTTAGAGGTAATTTAGCCAATATTTTAAAAGTATCACCAGAAAGTGCAGTAAAGTTTGCAACTTATGAATATATCAAAAGATTATTTGCAGCTTCAGACGCAGATTTAACATCAGCACAGAGATTTGTAAGTGGTGCCGTTGCAGGTATTGTTTCACACACTTCATTATTTCCATTAGAGTGTGTTCGTATGCGTTTATCAGCTGAACCAGCCGGTACTTATAGCGGTATCATTGATTGTTTCAAAAAAGTTGCACAAAGCGAAGGCTCAATCAAACCATTCTACCGTGGTTTAGGTGCATCTATTGTATCAACAATTCCACACAGCGGTGTCAATATGATGGTTTACGAGTTTTTAAAATTTGAAGTCGTAAAAAGAACTGGTGCAGAATTCCCAACACCAACTCAGCTATTACTCTGTGCCTCAGCATCGTCAGTTTGCGGTCAATTGGTTGGTTATCCATTCCATGTTATCAAATGTAGACTAATTACTGGTGGTACCATTGCAAATCCAGAAAAGTACAATGGTTTATTTGACGGTATGAAAAAAATCATTTCAAAAGAAGGTCCAAAAGGTCTATATAAAGGTATCATGCCAAATTTTGCCAAATCTATTCCATCCCATGGTATTACCTTTGTAACATACGAATTTTTCAAAAAGGCATTTGATATTAATTTAGAAAAAAAAGAAAAGAAACACTAATTTAACCCAATAATGACTATAATAACAATGATAGCAAAAAGTAATAAATAAAAATAATGTTGTATTAGTAATAAACCAATATATTTTAAATATTTTTATTTTTTATTTATCTTTTGCTCATTTTAGTTGAAACATTTGATAATTTATATTTTAATATTATTTTATATCTATATACTATTACTACAATAACTGGAATTAAAATTGCGCAACTTCCTACGACTACAATGACTGCTATTTTCCATTTTTCGAAATCTTCATTTTTGCAATTGTTTTTATCATTAATCTCTATGAGTGAAGAAAAATTTGGGTCAATTATTATTTCATTTTTAAAAGATGGTGTTTTTATAGCTGTTAATATATTATAGGTTTGGTTATTTGAAAAAAGATCGGTATCATTGTAAAGTGGATCCGTTTCTTTTAAAATTGAAATTTGTGTAACAGAGTATTTTGAATCTACGATTAATCTTGATGAAAATCTACCGTTTAAAATGGAGGAGCCCACTTTGATTTGATACCAATTTATTGAATCTCCTGGTGTTTCGTCTTTAATAATATTTCTTTCTTCGTCCACTTCTTTACCATTGCAATCTATAACTTTTTTGATTTGAGTTGTTGAAAGATATATAACTTCTAGTGAGTTTAGTGGTGAGTCCAATGTATAGTTTGTGATTTTAATTTCGTTTTTTAAAGAGTTTTCGGAAATATACATTTTTTCACCTGCAAAATATACACTATCGTTTGCTTCTTTAAAATAGGTAACTTTTAATTCTATAACCATATCGCTATCATTAAAATGACCAGTTAAAAAAGTTGATGCTTCGTCTAATTTCTTTGGCTCGCTCCAATTGATGTTTTTGAAACTAAAGAGTTTAATTGGTTGGTTAGTGATATCTACTTCTCTTATATAATTGATTGCCACAGTAAAGTTTCTATTTTCGTTTGAGTTTAAAATATTTTCACCACCTTCGCCTACAGATGGGGGCTCGGTTTGGTTGTACTTAATATCCCCTTTTAAAGAGCAGTCTAAATCACCCCAGCCTTGAGCACAACTACAGATACCATTTTCGATATTACATGTTCCCTGGGATGGGTTTGTGCAATTATTTGGACATGAATAAACCTTTTTATATAAAAATACATTATTTGAACCAGATACACCATAACTTGTAACATTAATTGGTAAACCCAAGCCGTCTTCACTTGGCTTTACTAAAGCATTGAAATTACATTGAACTAATTTATTTGAGGCCAATTCTTTTGGATCTGTACATTTTTGACCACCGATTGTAATTTCTATATTTTGAATATCATAGTTTGAAACTTCGATTTGCACCAAACCACCTTCACCATAGTATAGCGAAGTGGACGATTTTACTATAGGACCAGTATATTGAATCAATAAATAATCTTGTGGATATTCATTTTTGAATCTAATTTGAAAATTTCCCGAATACTTTGGAAGATTACATTGAACAGTTGTTGGATCCGGGTTATTAATTTTATATACACATTTAAAAGTTCTTGGTGGAATGGTTTCTAATTCGATGGTGGTTGGAGTACCCCCATACTGAATCGCACTGATAAATTGACCTGATATCATTACTGAATCATCTTCTTTTACATTTACATTGGGAAGAACGGCACCAATTACTGGGTAGATGGGTGTAAACTCTTTTTGAATGGTTTCACCATTAATATAAATAAAAAGTGGACCTGGTTCTGTATTGGATGGAATCGAGGCCCTAATAAATGTGGAATTGTTTTCGATTGTATCTAGTAAAAAGTAACCTATTTTTAAATATTGAAAACTGTCTAAATCCTTCCCAAATATTCTTATTTCTTTGTTTAAAACATATTCTGTATTGGTAATTTCATAGCAATTAATGATATTTAAAAAAAAATAAAAAAATATAATTGAATTTATAAATTTTATTTTCATATTATTTTAAAATAATATTTTGGGTATATATGCGTTTAAACGTATGAGTAATTTTACAAAGTATAAAAAAAAAAAAATTATTATGATTTTTTTTTTTTTTTTATAAAATTTTTTTTTTAAAATTTTTATTTTTATTTTTTATTTTTTCAGATTATCGATTCCATTTATTTTTTCAAAGCGCATCAAGATTAATTTTTTAAAAACAAAGGTTTTATTATATTTAAAAAAAAATCTAATTTTATCTTTTTAATATTTACATTATTACTAATATACATATATTATCATGGTTAAAAATAGTTTTAAATGATTTATTTTTTATTTTCGACAAATATTATTCACATAAACCCACCCCTAACACAATAACACAAAAACTCAATAACACTCTAAACCCACTCGACACACTAAACAAAAAAAATAAAAAAAATAAAGACAATAACACTTTAATTTTTATCCAATTAAATAAAAAAAGTTTGTACGGGGATTAATTTATCTTTTTTAACATAAAAAACACAACTATCTCACACCTACACTTAAATACTAAAGCTTATATAACAATAATTTAAATTTCATCTGATTTATTTTTATTTATTTTATTTATTTTTAACTATTTTTATTTTTATTTTTGCTATTCAAAAAAAAAAAAAAAGATATCAATCAATTTTAATAAAAATAAAAATAAAATTTTTAACTGAAAATGTTGAAATAAATTAACTATACTTATGTTAGCGCTAAAAATATTAAAAAAAAAAAAACTGACAACCCACAACATATATATAAAAAAAAACCCCCTCGATCCACACAGCATATTTAAAAAATTATAATTTTTTTCACACATACAAACACACACACAAAACACAATAAAAATAATTATAAAATTAGCCAATAAAAAACAATTTTTTTAAATAAATTCGATATTAATATTAAAAAAATAAAAATGATTATAGATGGAAAGAAATTTTTTTTTTTTTTTTTTTTTTTTTTTTGTAAACCTCTCTGTAATCAAAGAAATAAATATTAATAAAATATATAAACTAATAATAATAGTTAATAATAAAAAAACAAATTATAGTAATATAAAATAAATTTTTTATTAACTACAATCACATCTTAATCACACCACTTAAACTCGCTCCACTTAATCAACACTACAACACAACACATTTTTCTTTAACACTATTATAATTGTTTGAATGTTATAAATAAATTAATTTGCTAAGATTGTTTATTTCAAATAATTTTTAGCCTTTTTTTTTTTTTTTTTTCTATTTTTTAAAAATAATTTTTTTTTTGTATAATAGTATATTTATTGTATTTTATTTTACATATATTAATTAATTTATTTATCTTATAATCAATTTGTTTATATTTATTCATTATTAATTAATTTTATATTTTAAAAAAATTTTATAATTTTAAAAAAAAAAACAATAACAAAAAAAATGAGTAGGTATAAATTAAAAATACACTTAATAAATAGTCAAATTTAATATTAACTTTTTTATTTAAAGATGATAACATAAATAATAATTTAGGAAATGAAATTATTAGATTATGCAAAGCAAGAATAGATGTGAAAAGAGAGGTTATTTATAGATTAAAAACAAGTTTTCAAAGTAGTTTTTTAAATCAATCAAAATTCTTTTTAGAGGAGGCATGGAATTTTATTAACCAACTAGATGACCCAGAAATCTATATAACCAGCGTAGATAATATTAGCTGTGACTATCATGATAAGTTTACAAGAGATAATGAATGCTTTAGACAATTAAAAGAGGTTGTTGATACTTTAGCAAGCCATCAAAAAACATTGCAACAAATTAGATTCTTAAAAACCCAGCAACAACAGCAACAACAACAAAATAATACTTTAAAGCCAATGACCTTACAGTCATTACAATCAATTCAAACCTCATTGGGAAATCAACAACAAACTTCAACCTCTGCATTACAGTCACATTTACAACAAAATAATGATTCTGACCAAAATGAAAAATGGATAAAAGACTTATTATTCTCAGTTATTCAACTAAAGCAATACTATTCCGAGTTTATAGATCAAATTATTAAATATTTAGATTGTGGCAAAATCGGAGATTTAAATGATATAATGGAGGGTAATAAGGCAACAATCAGTAGTGAATCTTTCCCACGTCCATTTTATAGAATAAATAGATCAACTGCACTCAAGATACTAAATTTAAACGAACACTTAGAGCCATTAAATAATGATAAATCCTTTTCACCATTTATTTTTGATAATAATTCTCCAATAAACTCACCATTTTTACACAGTTCCATAAGTAATAATAATAATAATAATAATAACGGATCTCCATCATCTAATTCATCACCATTTTTAACATCTACTTCCCCATCAATTAATCTTTCTCAGTGCTCTACACCTGGCTCTCCACACATACAATCATCCTCAATGTTTTGGAAACAAACTAAATCAATTTATTTCAATAAAACAAATTTGGCAGATTTCGGTAAAGATATAACAGTTAATAAATTATATCAACTTTTAAATATTCCATTTGCTCCAACCTCTTTGTTGGTAGTTTACATTGATAATTCTTTTATTGATGACCACTTTACAAAACCACAGTTATTTTATACACAGGCTTTCTGGGGTGTTGATGGCAGAAAATTCGAATATGACCCATCTCTTTCAACTCCATCTAAAATTCAACTAAATACTTCAAATAGTAGCAATAGTATTGTTCCAACAGATATTAGTATTATTTCCTTTGCTGAACAAGTATTTGGAACTCTTTTAATTTGTCCTAAAGAAAATCATTTCCAAATGGTCCAATTGGATGATGCAAATCAAACCAACCATTCCAGTGGTAGTATTAGTCCCCATGTAAACCTTCAAAACAAAAATATAAATAATATACATTCAATTAGCTCATCCCCACCTACCTTAACAACATCGTTACCACCTCTTCCCCCATCTATTAGCTCATCTCCCCCACCTTTATTACCAACCTCAACACTATCATTGCTAACACCACACCCACTTATAGCACCAATTTCAATTTGTTCATCATTACAATCATCCAACTATATACCAAAATCTTATACTCTAATTTCAATTAAAAATGATCAATTAAATTTTGAAGATGATGATGAAATTATATTTAATAATAATAATAGCCCTGATGAAAGTGAAAATAACTTATTCTCGAAATTAAATATTTTAAAACTACCACAAATGGATAAAACAGTACCATCGAGATTTCAAAAATATATTTGCAACATAAACTCACAATTTCTTATTGTTCAATGGTTAACCAAATTAGAAGAGTTTAATAATAATTTTTCGAATCTTTTAAAAACTATAAAATTTATTAATCAAGATTCTCAACCATTTCTTTCATCATCATTAAAAAGATCCCAACAAAGACAACAAAGCAAACAAGATGAACAGAAAATCAATGAAGAGGAGTCTTCTTTATCATCATCAGCATCATCAACATCAGCATTATCAATCAATTCATCAGTTTCATCCTCTCCATCATCCTCTCCAACCAAAACCTCAGCTAAAATTATTTGTATTGAGGAGTTATTTTTAAAATTCAACCTACCAATTAAACTAAATAGAAAAACCATTGAAACTGTTCAAAAAAGATTTGAAACCATACAGAATCAACTAAAGAAAAATAGCAATAGTACATTCTCTGATTTATTTTTAAAAGTCTATCCATTACAATTTGTCTGTTTTAAAGATTTAACTAATAATGAAACTATATCAAAAAAATCAAATTTTGTACCAATTATAACAATAACCTCATTCGAAGACAATAATAAAATAATAAAATTAAATAATAATTTATCCTCAAGCCCAGGAAAAATCAAATCAAGTAAAAATAAAACTTTAGGAGTTACAATAAACAATAGCAATAATCAATCAAACACAAATGATAAACATGCAAAAATTTCACACGGAAAATCTTCAAGCTTTTCATTTAAACCCCAAAATCCACAACCCAGTGAAAACTCGACTGGTGGTAGTATTTGCAAATCCCATTCATCATCATTTTCAGCCAATATTTTAGCAAAATCAAGAACCAATTCATCTTTAAATCTTTATGATTATGTATCTCCTCAAAAATTATTATTAAAATTTGATATAGATAGATTTAAATTAGCAGAATCAGTTTTTCAAGAGATATTGGTACATTTCCATTTAGACTCTAAAAAAGTTCCATTAAATGTTATTTATAATAAAATTACATTGTTGCAACAAATTAGAGCTACCCATTTTTCACAGCCCAGATCCATAATTGAATTATATCGTCTTATTTCAAAGCATTTAAAAAACCAAAATCAAATCAATATTTTCAACACTAAATTCAAACCAATATTTAAACAAATTGCCCAAGATAACCCAAACCTTCAACTTAACTGGATCTTAATAATCGAAGAGTGGTTTTCTGATGAATGGGAAAATCCAAAGCAACTATTCCCAAGACAAACAAGAGAAATTAAAGGTTCATTCTTTGGAAAAAGACTTTTACCACAAAATATTCATGACCATTTATTCTCTGCAGATGGTAAATTTATTAGAAGAAATAAATATGGTAGAAAAGATGTATCATGGTATCCAGAAACAGATCCCATTTGGTACTTTAAAAAATATCCAGAAATTCCAGGTTATGAATTTGCCTCAGCAGAATTCATGAGAGGTTTAGGTGTTAAAAATATGCCATTTTCAGAATTGGTTTTATTCTATGACCCAATATTAAAGAAATCATATCCAGTTTTATTATCTTTAGCTGTAAATGGAAAATTGGTTTCAGATATTTGGGGTAATAAATCGTCGGGTGGTCCATCAGAAATCAATGAATCAATTTTAGATCAACACCACAATGGTATTTTAATAATTTCATCAATGCTATTAACTGTAGAAGATCAAAAAGGTAAAAATTATTACTTTATGCTACGTTTTAAACTAAGCCTATAAACATATACTTACTAATTACATATTTTATTTAACAACAACATTAGATGATAATTTATTATTAACCGAAAATGGAAGATATTTGGTACCTATTGATAATGATCATTGCTTTGTTCCACCTTATGTTGTAGATAATGAAAAAAGTTCAATAATCAAATCATTTAAAGGAAATGAACAAAAGAAGAAGCTACAAATGAAATCATTACTATTCAATTTAAATATGATGAAAGATAAAATCCCAGATTCAGTTAAACAACAATTTTTAAATTTAAACTGTTTTGAATTTTTAAAGGATTGGTTAGAAAAATTAACTTATATTCACGATAGATATTCAACACTCTTACCAGAAGAAGAATTACAATCACTTTACCAAAATAATGCATGCATTGTCAGAGTATTCTTTACAACAAATATGATTCAACAAATTTTTAATAATCTTTTAACTATCCAGTATTGTTTCAAATATTCAATAACAAACACATTTATGGATCTATTCCCAAAAATAGTTGATCCTTTTGTAGCAAAGAAATACCAATCCATTTTTGATAATCCAAATTTAAAAACTTTAGAAGAAAGATTTAAAGCAACCCTCGCTTTTGCAAACCAAAATAAAAACTCAAGTAATATTAATAATCATATTCAAAATAACCTCAGTTTAATAAACATAGTTAAGGTTTTAAATATCCCAAATCAAGATTTATATGGGGAATCAGTTAGAATTAAAAATCAACCATCAATTGCATTAAATCACTTAAAAGAAATTTACAAATTAAAGCAGGATGTAAAAAATATGAATGAAAAAATTCTGTTAAGATCAAACTCATCAAATATAGGAAGTGTTCCGGATGCAAACCGTGTTTCTAATAGTTTTGAAATGCTAAACACCATCAACTGTAATGAACTAACCAAAAAGCAATACTCGGAATTTGAAAAGAAATTTAGATTTGATTTTTCAAGTATTGAAAGCTGTTCAATCCACAACTCTCTATTTACAGATTCATTCATAAAGAAATTAAGTTTCTCTCACATTCAATTTTTAGATTTAACAAATTCGGAAAAATTAACTCGTTTATCTTTAGGTTACTTATTAAAAATCACACCAGAGTTACTATATTTAAATATTAGTGGATGGAAAACTATCAAACGTATAACTTTCTTTACAAACACCAATTTTGAAATGGGATTAATTGATATAAACCAACTTATAACATTAGAAGATGAAAGCCAGATACCACCAAATAAAATTCAAAGACTAGTAATTAATGATTGTGCAAATTTAGAGTTAATAGATTTATTTTATTCAATGCCCTCACTTAGAATTTTAGATGCCAATAGAAACCCAAAGATAGAAAAAATTCGTATCAACTATAATGTTAAACTAAACACAGATATTTCAGATCCAGATTTCCAAATAATTAAAAAGAAACAACTCAATTATATTGTTTTAGGTGATAAAAATGTTGGAAAGGTAAGATAGAATTATAATATAATTATTTTATATTTTTTAATTTATATTAACTTTTGTTTTTTTATTTAGACCTCATTAATAAAAATCATTAAAAATAAAACCAATCTTAAAAACTCACACCCAAATTTCTTTGAAGCAAATTTAGATTCCCCATTACCACAAGAAGTATTAAAAGCAATTGAAAATAAACTAAGCTTCAATTGTTTTTGTGATTTTGGAATAATTTTAGTTTATGATTGCAACATTGAATCATCAATTATATCATGCAGAAATTGGTATAACAACTTTAAAAAGGTCTATGACCCAAATAACTACATTAAAGTTTTATTGGTTGGTAATAAAAATGACCTTCCTTCAAATATTACAGAAGAAGATATAAATGTAAGATATTTTATTTTTTAAATATTTATTTTAAATTAAATGTATTAATTTTTTTTTTTAGAAATTTGCTAAAGAATTTAGTTTAATATCATTAAAAAAGAACTCCTCAAGGCTATCAAACTCTCATGATGAATTTAGTGATATTTGTTCTTATTTAACTGAAAAGTGTTGCTCAGATTGCAAAAATATCAAATAAAATATAAATATAAAAAAAGAGTATTTTATATAAAATAAAATAAACACAAAAAATAAAATAAAGAATGGATATAAACTAAGCCATATTTTATTTTAAAATTGTTTAAAATGTTTTTTTTTTATTTAATTTATTTTATATGCTTTTGAAAGGAATAAATATATTTTTTCTAAAAAACAATAAAGAAATTATAAAAAAAATTTTATTTTTTTTTTATTTTTTTTTTTTTTAAAATTTTTCTTTTTTTTTTTTTTTTATAAATAAACTATGATAAATAAAATACCTCCAATATTATCCAATGTAATCAATGGTGGTTTATTAATAACATCACCTCTATGGTTTGTAGGGTGTTTGTTTACGGCAATCACATTGGAAGATATTCATGGTGTTCCCCCATTATATATTTCCAACTTGATATCATTATCATCCACTCCATTTGTATTATTATTTTCATTAGGCTATCAAAGAAGAATAGGGTTTAATAAAAAAGTAGCTTTAATGCCATTGATACCAATAACCACATTTTTTACAGGAATGAAGCTTTATGAGTAAGAAATAAAAAAGATAATATCTATATAAAAAATTTAATATAATACACATTTTAATAAAATTTTTTCATAGGAATAAACAGATAAAAGATAAATTTAATAAATTTCAGTAAAACAGGATTATTATCCACCAAAAAAAAAAAGAAAAAAAAAAGAAAAAGAAAAATTTAAATAAATGTATATTAAAAAATAATTTTCTATATAAAAAAATAAAAATAAAAATATTATGATTAAATAAAACAAATGTTGGAGATATTAACTCCAAATGGAACAAAGATCAAAAAACCAAAACAGATTTTTTCATGCACTTACTTTGTTAATTCTATTCAGTATTTTTGGTATGATTGGATGAGTGCAGTTTGGAGTACTACCTTTGCCTCTTCAAATGTAGGTGTCATTGATAACTCAATCAATGGGGTGAAGGATCAAGTATTGATAAAAAAATTTCATTTATGACTTGATTGGTGAAAGTATTCAAAAACACAATATTTAAGTACCTAATACTTATTTCTTTTGGTATTGAAAGAATAAAATGATCAAAATGATTTTAAATCTGTAGATGAAACCACTTTTGCTAATATTATCTTTTTCCCAGCAAACTGATCAATAAAAAAAAGTTTGGTTTTTTTTATTTTTTTAAAAAATTTTGTTAATACACATTTAAGATAATACTAAAGCGGTTTTGTTTACAAGTGGTGGAATGCATTAATTCTTCTATTTTAAATTGGTGTTGATTCTTATTTGTCCCATTTTTTTTTACTAATTATTTAAATAAATAATTTTAGTTTTTTTTTTTTTATAAAACAACAATTATCCTTACTTTTATACAATAGTTTAAAAAAAAAAAAAATTAAAAAAAAAATAAAATAAAATTAATATATATAAGATTCAGCTTTTATCAATTATTTAAAATAAATCCCCAAAATAATAATGACAATAATTTACCTATAAATAATTGTAAAATATTTAATAAAGATTTTATAAAAAATCTTTTTTTCTGAAATAAAAAAGAAAAAAAACACAAAAAAAAAACTATATATTAAATTTTTTTTTTTTTATTTAAATTTATTAATTTGATAGATAATATTTTTCTTTTTTTTTTTTTTTTATTAAAAATAAAATTTTATAACAAAACAATGGTAGAAACACATGAAACTTTATTAAGAGTTACAAATTTTATATATGGCGGTGCATTATTAACATCACCTTTTTGGGGAACCGGTAAGTGTACTTTTGATTAAAACACACCCAAAATCATTACTAATATAGTTTCAAATAACTATAGGTGTATTATTAGCAACAGTAATGATGAATGATAGCTCAAGGTTTAAAACCCGTTTTCAAATGGGTTGTTTGTTATCTTTAGTAGCAGAACCAATTTCATTAATCTATACATTATCATATCAAAACTCATATGGTTTTAATAAAAGTGTATCATTCTTACCATTACTTCCTTTAGCATCATATGTTGGCTGTTTCTTTTTATTCTGGTAAATTTTTATTTAATTTCACAAAAACAAATATTTTTTTAGATTTACTAATGTTTTAAAACAAAATTATTTTAGGAACGATAAAATAGATAAAGATGATAAATAAAAATAACAAAGAAATAAAATAAATGTACATAAAAACTTTTTTAGAATTAATTAAAAAAAAAAATTAACAAATAAGAATCATCATTAAAGATATTCTTATTTTTATATTTATATATTTATTGTATCTATATATCACTATTTTGGGTGTCATTATTATTATCATTATTATTACTATTATCATTATTATTATCATTATTATTATTATCATTTTCATTATTATTTTCATTATTATCTACAATATCAATATTTTCATTATTACTACCATTACTATTATTATCACTATTATCAATATTATAATACCCAATATTATTATTATTATTATTATTATTATTATTATAATTTACTAATGTTGCATTAGAATGACCAAAGCTATTATTTAAACTATTATTATTACTATTATTATTACTATTATTATTACTATTATTATTACTATTATTATTATAATTGTTATATGAAGAATATGAATAAGATAAATTTGATTGTTTAAAACTTTGAGTTAACTTGTTTACAGCATCATGAGTTGAAGAAAAGAAAGAACTTGTGCCAATTAAATCGACGAAACCAGCTCTAATGAAATTTTTCTTTTGTGAATCTCTTAATTTAACAAAACAAATTTTGATGTTACGTTTTAAGTATTGCTCTACCATTTCATAAAAGATTTGGGTTGAAGAGGCATCGATGATTGGAATATTACGCATATCAAATACAATACCCAACAATGGTGATCTCTGATCTTGTGGTAAAGCTTCTGATGGATGTGCTAATGCATTGCCCATATTTTCAATACGGAAAAGAATTTCTTTAACTTGGCCTATATTAGCGAAATAGAGTGATTCTTCGAAACGAATAATTAAAACACCTTCGACTTGTTTAGCATCTGGGAAAATAATAATATCTTTATATTTGTTTGGTTGGTCTGGTAATCTTCCTAACACTGTAAAATGAGGAGCTGAACTTTGTCTAATGACCAAAAGAATGGAGGCACCAATGCTAACCATTAAACCAATTTCGACACTAAATACAAATGTGCAGATAAAAGTAGCAGAGAACAACAATAAATCGATCCATGCTCTAAGTTTCCAAAGGAATAAAATATCGTGAATCTCTATAAGGCCCAAAGCAGCAACAAAGATAATGGAGCTCATTACTACTCTTGGTAAAAATTGGAATACTGGCATTAAGAAAAGTAGAGCAAATAACACAACAACAAATGTAAAGAAACCTGCTAATGGAGTTTTTGCACCTGCCTTATCATTTACTGCTGAACGTGTCATTGAGGCATAAATTGGATATGCTAAGAAAAATGATCCAAAAATATTTGATGCTCCAATTGCAACTAACTCTCTGTTGGTTGAAACTTGATAATTATGTTTGGTTGCAAAATTCTTTGAAACTGCCATTGACTCTACAAAACCGACGATACTAATGAACAAAGCTGGACTAAACAATTGACTAACTAATTCCCAACGATTTAATTTTGGCCATGTTGGTACTGGGAAACTTGTATCAACTTTAGATAAACAGACAATACCTTTATCACATAATTTTAATCCTGCACTAACTGAAATACCAATAACAACAACTACTAAAATTGATGGTATAAAAAATAAAATATGATGATGAATTCTAGTTCTAATTTCTGGGCAGAATCTTTTTTTAATTTGCTAAAAAAAAATTAAAAAAGAGAATGAAATTAATATTATATTTAAAAAAAAAGAATTAAATATTATTATTATTATTATTATTATTATTATTATTATTATTATTATTATTATTATTATTATTATTATTATTATTATTAATATTATTATTATTAATATTATTATTTTATATTTAATTTAAATACTTACTGCTAAAATTAATAATAAAACAATTGAAGAAATACTCATTATTGCAGATAGTGAATTAACTTCTGACCAATGTTTGAAAATAATTGGCAATTTACGCCAACCACTTTCAGAAACTGATGCTAAACCAAGTAATGTATCCAATTGTTCAATTAAAATAGTAAAAGCAACTGCATTGATGAAACCTCTAATGAGTGGTCTTGAAAGTACCTCTGAAAGGAAACCAAAACGAAGTAAACCTAAAACCAATGACACTATACCTACTAAAAATGCAATAATATTTGCGCAAACAATAAGCTCTGCCTCTGTCAATGGAACATCAGAGGCATCACTAATAGAAGCAAGTGTAGTACCGACAATGAGAGAAACCAAAGCCTCTGGACCAACACTAAGTTGTCTGGATGTACCAAAGATAGCATATATTAACAATGGCATTAAACCGGTATATAAACCATAAACTGGTGGTAGACCGACAAGTATAGCATAAGCTAATGATTGTGGCACTAACATAATTGATGTTGTAACACCTGCAGTAACATCACCAATTAAATTAGCAGTATTATATTTGGGTAACCATGACATAATTGGTATATAATATGGTGTTCTCTTTTTAATGATTTTTAATTTTTGTTTAATAAAAGCATATTTATCATCACTATTATAATTGTTGAAGCTAAATGAAGATGATCTTGAATCTGAATTTTGATAATATTGTTGTTGAGGAACATGAGATGATGATGATGAGGAAGATTGTGAAAAATCTTTATTATTATTATTGTTATTATAATTATTATTATTATTATTATTATTATTATTATTATTATTATTATTATTATTATTATTATTATTATTATTGGTATAATTATTGCTATTAATATCTTTTTTTACATAGTCTGTTCCACTACTATTTATAACTGTATTTTTTTTCTGTAACTTATCAAAAAAACTACTAAATGTTTGTGGTGTTTCTTCAAACAATGGTCCCTGTTGTTTAATAGTTGATATGTTATCTACTGATTGACTTAATGGTGGGCTATCAATTACATATTCTTCATGTGTTTGTCTGTTACGTAAAATTGATGAACTAACTCCTAATGGTTGTGATGGTATATTTGTTGGGATTGGTTCTGAAACTGGCTCTTGTTGACGATTTATTAATGGTGATGACTCATTAGATTCATCACCTGTTTGCCAAAATTTCCAATTTACCATTTAACAACAAAAAACAATTATTATATATTTATTATTATAAATTATTATTTTTTAAAAAAAAAAAATTTATATTATTTTACAAAAAAAAAAATTATTATAAGAGATTAACGAGGTTATTTTTTCGGATAAAAAAAATAAAAATTAAAAATTTTATTAAATTGGTGTATGAAAAAATAAAAAAGTAAGAAAAAGAAAAAGAAAAATTATACAATAAAAATATTACAGAAATATTATTATTAGACAGATGTGACAAGGTGTGTATGATAGTGCGTGTAGTGAATAATGATCACGAAAAATGAATTTTTTTTTTTATTTTTTTTTTATATTAAAAAAAAAAAAAAAAAAATTTAATAAAAAAATAAATAAAAAAAAAAATTAAATTTAATTTTTGTTTGTGTTGCGTTTCCTTCTTTGTACCTTATTATTAAAATAATATTAAACAAAAAAAAAAACAAAAAAAATAGTATTATTTTTATTTATAAATTTGCAATATTAATGTTTTCAAAAGTGTCATGATAAGTTAATTTTATCCACTGGTCATCCTTAAATTTCATATAAAAATACGACTTATAAAAACCGATTCGAAATGTCTGGTAAAAAATATTTAAAAAAAATTAATATCTTTTTTTCTTTATTTTTTTTTTTTTAAATTAAATTAATTATTTACTATACACAGAATTGTGCGAAAAAACAAACCAAAAAAAATAAACCAGAATGATGATAAATAATAAAAAATAGATAAATAAACCAGATAATATTTTTAAACTGGAATTGTAAATACGCACTATAATTTTTCTTTTAAAAGGTTATATTGTTTAATTTAATATTTATTAAGAAAAAAAACATTAAAATTATAAATAATAATATAATAATTAAATAATTTGGATGTGTTAAAAAAAAATTGGGGTGTGGGAATATATACATAATAATATTTTTTTAAATAAATAGTAAAAATGAAGTGGATAGGTGTTGGTATCTCATTATAAATTTTTTTTTTTTTTGCAATTATAATATTTATTTTATTATTATTATTTCTTTAAAAAATATTTATAATGAGTACCATTAAATCAATTAAAGCAAGAGAAATTTTAGATTCTAGAGGAAATCCAACATTAGAGGTAGAGTTATTTACAAACAAAGGACAAACCTTTATTGCAAAGGTACCAAGTGGTGCTTCAACAGGTATTAATGAGGCATTCGAACTAAGAGATGGTGATAAAAGTCGTTATTTGGGTAAAGGTGTTTTAAATGCTGTAAGAAATGTTGAGGATATTATTTCAAAGGCACTATTTGGTAAAGATGTTTTAAATCAAGTCGAAATCGACAATACCATGATAAAATTGGATGGAACTAAAAATAAATCGAAATTGGGTGCAAATGCAATAGTTGGGGTTTCCATGGCTGTTGCTAGAGCTGCTGCTTGTGAAAAAGGAGTTCCACTTTATAGGTATGTATCAATAAATTATATATTGTTCTATTTATTTTATATCAATATATAATTTTATAAATTTGATTAGATACATTTCAGAGTTGGCTGGTACAAACATTCGTTTACCAGTACCATGTTTTAATGTTATTAATGGTGGCAAGCATGCAGGTAATCCATTACCAATTCAAGAGTTTATGTTGGTTCCATTAGGTGCACCAAGTTTTGCAGAAGCTCTAAGATATGGCTCAGAGATTTACCATGTATTAAAAGAGGTAATTTCAAAACGTTATGGTTTAGACGCAACAAATGTCGGTGATGAGGGTGGTTTTGCTCCTCCAATATTGGATATTAAAGATGCTTTTGATATTTTAGTAAATGCAATTGACTTGGCTGGATATACCGGTAAAGTAAAGATTGGTTTTGACTCTGCCGCATCGGAATTTTTGGATCAAAAGACAAATAACTATGACTTGGATTTCAAAAAGAAAGCAGCCGGTACCGGTAAATCATCATTAGTAACGCCTGATGCTTTAGCAGATATGTATAGTAAATTTATTGAACAATACCCAATTGTTTTTATTGAGGATCCATTTGGTGAAGAGGATTGGAGTAGCTTTAAAAAGTTTACTTCAGTTTCAAGAGTTCCAATTATAGGTGATGATTTGTTGTGCACCAACCCAGAGAGAATTAAAAGAGCAATTAAAGAAAAAACATGCAACTCATTATTATTAAAGATCAATCAAATTGGTACTCTCTCTGAAACAATAGAAGCTGCAAATTTAGCAAAAGGTGCAGGATGGGGATGCTTGGTTTCCCATAGATCAGGTGAAACTGATGATTCATTCATTGCCGATTTGGTTGTTGGCTTAGGTACTGGTCAAATCAAAAGTGGTGCTCCATGCAGATTTGAAAGACTTGCAAAGTATAATCGATTAATGAAAATTGAAGAAACAGAAATTTTATCAAATGGAAATAAAATAAAATTTGCTGGTAAAGAATTTAGTCATTTTTAGAAAACTATAAAAAAACTATAAATAAAAAAAAAAGAATTATAATTATTTGTATCTATTTTTGGACAGTATGGAGAAATAAATGGTTTTTAATAAAGCCTATTATTTGATAAAAAAGATTATTTACAAATTTTATTTATATTATTAAAATAAAAAAAGGATTTTAAATTAAAACAACTATTGAAAAAACATAATATTATTAACTATTTCTATATTATTATTATTATTATTTTTAATTATTTTATTTCAGCTATTATTATTATTTGGTTTAATATCTAAAAACCACTAGTAGTATAGCTGCAATATGATGGACCTGATGGTGATAATAAAAATACATGACCCATTTCTCTTGAAAACATTGAACCAATATTTGAAAGTTCTGAACCACTAAAGAATTTCTTTTTCTTTTTATCCTCACTTTGTTTATTAGCTTCTGGCGATTCAGTAGCATTTGTTTGTTCCATATTTGAATTAGAATGAAGGTCTTGTTGAGAATGGAATAGCTTCTTTCTAAATGTTGACATTTTCATTGATATTGTATTATATTTTCTATCATTTGAACTATTATTAATATTATTATTTACATTTGATGATGAACCTTCTCCATCATTATCATTTTCAGTACCTCTGGCAAGTGAAGCAATATCACCAGTTGTTTGTGATTTATTGACTACAGTAGAAAAACCATCACTAACTTTCTTTGATTTCTTTCTTGTAAGAGTGTTATAAATTTTTCTAGAAAGTGTCATTGATTTTTGACTTTTTGGTACATCCTTATAACTAAAATTGTTTGAATCGTTGAAAAAATTTGATGCTAAAATTTCTTCTATAGTTTCTTCATTTTGTTGTGTAGATGCGCTAGTTACAGCAATATCTACAATAGGGGTTTTTTCAAACAAACTAAGTAGCTCTGACTCTGCTTTGGTTTGGAATCTTTCTCTTGTAACTCTAACTGGTGCGACTGCTGGAGATTTGTTATCATCTAAAGAGCTTTCTACTTCTACTTTAATATCACCATTTTCATCATTTTCAATTTTTTGTTCTTTATTATTTGATGATCCCTCTTCATCTTCATTTTCTTTTTCTTGTTCGTTTTCATCAGAAACTTGCTCTACAAAAATTTGTGGTGGTGGTGGTAAAATATCCTCTTCTACTTTCATGGTGGATAACAAATCTTCATTTACATTGTCAACAATTAAAGGTTTTTCTTGGTCATGATTTATTTCTACTGGTGGAGGTGGTAAAATTTCCTTTTCCTCTTGCTTACCATTAGGTTCGATAACAGGTGAGTCTCCAACTGGTAAATCGCCACTTCTTGCAATATTTATTGAATCTTTATTTTCTATTGAAGTAATTTGAATTTCAGGTACTTGTGTAGACTCTTGATTGTTTGAAAATTCTGCACCGTTCTTTATTGAATCACTTGATTCTTTAATATCGTTTAGTTTATTATTATTACTATAATCATTATTAATATTTTCTAATTGATTGGTATTATGATGTTTTGAACCGTTATTACCCATTTTTAATTTTATTTACAATACTATTATTTGATTTAATTTTTTAAATATTATTTATTGTTTATTAATATTTTTTATTTTATTTATGATATAAATATATATATGGTTATAATATTAAATAAAAACAAAAAAATAAAAAAGAAATACGAAGTTTATTATGAGTTTAAAAAAAATTTAAAATTAAATAAAATAAAAAAAAAAAAAAAAAAATTAATAGATATAATAATCAAATAATATTAATTGAAAAAAATACAATTTTTAAACTACACAAAAAAAAAAGAAATTATTACAATTGTAGTCAATTAATAAAATATTATTATTATTAAAAAAAAAGCTCACACAAACACACAATACAATAACAATTTTAATTTAAAAATATATAATTGTTATTTACCCTTCCTTTTTTAATATACATATCCCAATCAAATGGGGTGGTGTGTACATTAACTTTCAATAGAAAATATATATATGTATAAAACTTACACATAAACTAGATGATAATTTTTGAAGAAAAAAAAAATAAAACCAACCCACACCACCCATACACTCTCTCTAAAAAAATTTACAATGTATTTTATTTATTTTGACTAGGTGGGGGTTATATAAAAAAAAAATAAAAAAAAAATGGGGGGAGGTTAAAATAATAGTGTTTTAATATTATGATTTTTTTGTGTTTATATATTTATTAGAACATTTCTATGATTAAATCAAAGAAATAAAAATCGATTAAATGGATTAATATAGTAATTTTTGAATTGTACATTACGTAATATAACTATATATAATGTTATTATCACAAACTTTAACATCACCTATTAGCATTATGGTGATGATGTTGTGGTTATAGAGAATAGGTGTTTATATAAATGAAAAAAAAAAAAATCATGATGTTTGATGATTAAGTACACGCCTAAAAAAAATATTAAAAAAATATAAAAAAATTAAGTTAAAAAAAAAAAAAAAAAAAGATTAGATTATTTTATAATATCAGATCAAAAATAAACCCCTATATAAAATAAAAAAAATAGTTGTTAAAAAATTAAGAAAAAAATATTTTATTTTAAATAGTGAATTTCTATAGTTTCAATCTATAGATAAGATTATTCGGTAACCTTTCGATTTCGGATGACACTAAATCAATCTATATACTTTATTCAAAAACCTTAATAAATTTAGATAATGAACTATCTAATTAAATCAAACACATTATTTTATTATATTTATATTTTTAATAAACTGTTGTTCATATATGAACTTAATCTAAAGTTTTAAATTATAATAATAATAATAACAATAATAATAATAATAATAATAATAATAGTAATAATAGTAATCATTTTTTTTTTTTATTTTATTGATTAAAGATTATATTTTATTTTTTAATTTAAAATTAAATTATTATCTTAATTTGAAAATATAAAATAATAAATTTTACATTCCTGGTTTTGAGGTTTTTGAAAAAGCTTCAGAAACAAAGGTTTCAAATGCCATTGGTTCGTGTCCAGTAATTTGATGAACACTCTTTGATACACGATTTGCCTTATCATCACGAACTGCGAGGTAGAGATCTGATAAATATTGAGTTGAGCCTTCTGGAAGTCCGCCCTTAAGACAATTTTTATGGAATTCATCTGGTCTTGCATCAGTAAATTTGATTGGTCTACCTAGTTGTTTTGATAATACATCACACAATTGAGTAAAATTGATTGGAGCTGGCCCGGTAATCTCGAGAATTTGACCATTAAACTTATCTTCAAGTAACATGTTGGCAGCACATTCACCAATATCTCTGGTTGAAATCCATGATACAGCATGTTGGCCGACTGGTGCAACTAAATTACCATCTTTGATGCCATCTTTCATAAAACCTTCACTTAAATTTTCCATAAAGAATGGTGGACGAAGGATACAATAAATCTATATATAATAAAAAAATTAGTATAGTTTTAAATTTAAAAATAAAAAATAATTTAACTAATTACCATTCCTGAATTTTTAAGCATTGATTCAATTTTAATTAATGGGAATCTTTCAGCATTAATTACGGATAAGAAACAGATTTTTCTTACCATTCTTTCTTTACACTTATCAATAAATCTACCTAAATTGTTTAAAAAAAAAAAGATTAATATTTTTTAAATTTTTATATAAAACAAAAAAAAAACTTACCACAATTGTTTTCTGGGTGTGGATCTAATGGTAATGCCATTAAGAAAACACGATCTACACCTTCAAGAGCAGCATCCCAAGTTTTTGGATCGCTAAACTCGAATTTTTGGAATTTGGTATTTTTACCAAAACCAAGAGATTTGAATTTCTTTTCATCTCTTGAGGCAACTTTGATACATGTATTTGGGGATTTCTTTTCTAAAAACTTTACTACATTTCTACCAGTATTACCAGTACCGCCAATAACTAAAATTGAATTGCATGGTTGTGACATTTTTTTTTTAATATAAAATATCTATTATTATTTGTAAATAAATGGAAGAATTATAATTGAATAAAAAAAATAAAAAAATACCTATTTATATTATTTTAATAAAAAAAATAAATAAAAAAATAAATAAAAAATAAATAAAAAATAAAATTAAAAAATAAATAAAAAAAGTAAAATTGTAACTTCAACACACAAAACACCAGTATCTATATTAAATTACTATTTTAAATAATAGAAATTTGAAAAAAATGTAGGGGTGCTTTTATATACATTTTATATGGGTGTGTTAATTGGTAGTAGAATGGGGTTTTTTACTTTTTTTATTATTTTTTTGGGTGGTAACAATGAAATTCCCAACTCCATTATTCCTATTATACAATAAAAAACACAATACCATACAAAAAACACTCTTGTTAAAAAAATCATTAAATTTGGTAATTAGCTATAATCTATTATTTTTATTAATTTTAATTTTTATTATTACCACACAAAATTATTATTGTCTATTTAAAGGTGTTTTGAAATAAATAATGATACCAAAACAATTTTTAAAAGAATTTTTGAGCTAAAATGATTATCTTTCCAACTTTCTGCATCAATAATGCCAACAACGTTATTATTTAATAATATTGGTATACAGATTTCACTCTTTACCTTATCTGAACAATTATAATATACACCTTCATAAGTTGATAGACTCTATAAAAAAATTAATAATATTAATAAAATAATAATAATAAAAACAATAACCCTTTTTAATACACACTTGAATAACCTTTGATTTACCATTAATACCAACCCATGAGTTGTTACTAATTGTTTGGAAATAATCTGTTAATGGGAAAATTGCTCTACTAAATTCTCCATAATAGGCTAATTTTAAAAGACTTGATAGTAAAAATTTATAAATTAAAAAAAAAAAAAAGGAAAAAAAAAAAATTTAATAAAATACATTCAATAAATTAAAAATAAATTAAAATATCAATAATTACCCATCTTCTTTATTATTTTCTGAATTTTTATAATTAATTTTTTTATAAATACCTAACCAATCAACATTTGAAATTGATTGAAGTTTTTCAATAACTTGATTTAATCTCCATAATTGTAAATCAGACTCGGTTGTTCTTTCACCTAAAATTGAAGTTAAATCAAATGGTTCAAACTCTGTTTTTAAACTGCATGAACCACCCTCTCCCAATTTTGGTACTGTGAAATTATAATATTTGTTAAACTGGTCATCGTCGACAGTTGATGGTGGTAATGATTTGAAGATTTCTTCTAACCATGAAATATCTTCTTTTTCTATTTCTTTAATGTCCTCTTCACTGATTGGTAATTGTTTATCCAACTCTGTAACTTTAATATATTCTCTTAAATCCATTATTTATAGTTAATGATTATTTATTTTTTTTATTTATTTAATACAATGAAAAATTAATTTAAAAAAAAATAAAAATTTTTTAAAAAATCAATTTAAAAAAAATAAAAAAATAAATAAAATTATAAAAAAATAAATTTTAATTTTTTTTTTTGGTATTAAAATCTATTTTGGGCAAAAGAATAAATGAATCATTAAGAATCTAATTAAATTCTTTATTCTATGATATAAATAATAGAAAAAATTTATAAAAACAAATCAAAAGAATAAGGAAAACCATTAGATTATAAAATATTATATTAAACACCCAACATTAAATAACAGTATAACTTTTTTTTTTCCATTTTTAATTTTGGATGCTTTAAATAATCTTGGTGGAATTTGGGTCAAAAAAACTTCCCTGGATCATTAGTCCACATCAATTGCTAACCCCCAATTTTATCAACCCATATTTTAGGTTAAAAAAAATTGGAATTAATTATAAAACCATTATTTTATTTCTTATGTATTTTCATTGTAATTTAATATTTCTTTAATTTGTTAAAAGATTGTGGCATTTTCTTAAAAACAAAAAAAAAAAATAAAAAAAGATTTTACAAAAATAAATTGAAAAAGTTTTAAATGTTACAAATTATATATAATTTATTTATATGAATTAAGAATATAGTGTATCAGGGTATAATTTAACAGTTGTTATCAATTAAGTAATCAGCTAATTTTTCGACGGCGTTGGCAGCAGCACCTGGTTGTAATTTATCATCATAGACACCGATTAAGACACAGGTACCAGTTTTAACACAAACGACACCACCGCTACCTTTTTTACCGTATAATGAACGTGAGTCAGTCTTGAGGGTCATGTATTTGTTACCGTTGACAGAGACACCAGCACCTGGGTCTTGTTTTGAGAATAAACCAGCAAGAGTTTTACCTTCAGTACCTTTAAGACCAAAACCAGCAGATTTAGCCCATTCATTACCATCTAAACCAATGATGGCGGCTTGGGCGAAACCAGCACCGATTAAATTTGAATCTATAGTATTATAAAAAATAATTTAATTTGAAATTAATATTTAAATAATAATAATTAAATATTTTTAATATTGTCATTGTTATTATTATTATTACATACCAACATATGTTTGCCAGCTCATTGTGTATTATTTATATATATTTATTTAAAAAAGTTTTTATTAAAGTAATGAGTTGAAAAAATTTTTTGTATCCTATTTATGTGATAAAATTAATTATTGAAAAAAAAAAAAATTAAAAAAAAAATTAAAAATAATTGAAAAAAAAAAAAAAACAATTATTATAAAAAAACCCACAAAAAAAAAATTTAAAAAAAAAAAATGGGTTTGAGATCATCACTATTTTTATTAAAATAATATAATTTTAATTTTTTTTTTTTTTCTATTTTTTTTTTCTTCAATCAATAATATTTTATTTTTAACAACAATAAGTAGCCCACCAAAATCCAAAATTATGGCTTTTTTATTAAAATTTTTTTTTTTTTTTTTTACAATTTATTATCAGTTTCAAAATTAAAAAAAAAAAAAAAACAGATAAAATAAAAAAACTATATATAAATATTTATATATTTATTTATTTAATTTATTTAATTTATTTGATTTATTTGATTTATTTGATTTTTATGATTAATATTGTGGATTAAAAATAATAATAATTTTTGATGGGGTCATAAAAACTGAATTCAGTTTATTTTAAATTAAAAAATACACACACACACACACAAATTGATTTTGGTGTGTTTGGTGGTTTCATACAAATACAATGATATAGCTATTTATTTAGTGAAATAAATACACATGAAATTTTTTTTTTTTTTTTTTATTTTATTTTTTAGATCAAATTTTGATAGATATTTATACAAATATATTGAAATTCTTTTCATTGCTCAACCAATTTTCAAACTTCAAAATAACAAATAAAGATTTACAAATAAAATAATAAGTATAATTCAGGGAAATTAATTATTATAAATTTAGATGAAATTTTAAAAACTAATTTTAGACTAAATTTTGATAATAATAACAACAAAATCAATATCCAATAGTAACAAATATCAGAAAAATCTGAAAGGTTTAATTTTAAGAGAAATGGGTTCTGTTATAATAAAGTGCACCATAGCAAATATTTACAATAAAGTTATCAAAAATCACTCAAATCTCGATCATCACCTCTAACCCAGTTTTTTTATTTTTTTATTTTTTTAAAAAAAAAAAAAAAAAAAAAAAAAACATTAATTAAAATAATTATAATAAAAAAAAAAATTTTTAAAAAAAAAGAATCTTTAAAAAATTTTATTTACAAAACTATTATTATTATAATTATTTATTATTTTTATAATTATACATATAATTTTTTAACATTTATAACTGAATATCAAAATTATTTGAAACATTAATCTTACCACTTAAAGTTATAATTGAACAATGAGGGGTTGTTAATTTTGGATCACTACCATCAACATAGTTTTTCCAAGAGTCTGAAGAGGATTCTCTGATTAAATCATCTTTTGTAGCTTTTATCCAGATATCCTTATTGAGAAGATTTGAGCTTTGGTTATCGCTGATACAATAGAAAACTTGAGTAGTTGGGCTCTTTAAAAGATCTTCAATATCTACTTCAATTTTAACTTCAAATTCTTTAGAGTAAACACCTAAATCTATACCTGGTGGAACTGGACTATAAAAACATTGAATAGCTAAAACTCCACCAACACAATTATCTGATGATAAACCCCTTGATGATGTGGATCTCCAAAGTAAATAGCTGTAGACATCTAAATCGGTAGGATCTAAATTTTTACAATACTTTGAGGCGGCCAAACGAAAAGAGAAATAGATTTTTCTCCATGGGTGGTTAAATCTTGATTCTTTTGGTGAGTTCATAAACTCTTCAAATAACAATTTTGCAGATTTGATACAACCTTGAACTTTTATATAATCAGCAACTTCGATGCTGCAATAATAATAAACTGATTTTAATTTACTTTTGTCTTCAGTTTTGATAACCGAAAGGGAAGCCAATGGCATTGGAGAGTATGCATAAGGCTTGTTTTTGATATATTCTAAAAATCTTTTGGCCATGAATGAAAAGAGGGAAAGTCTACTATCTGCAGATATAATAACTCTATCACTTGCACTTGCCAATTGACCAATGGTGTGAATATCCAATTTCCTCAAGTTCTTTTCATCATTTAAAGTTGTACCATTCAAAACCATAATTGATGAGGAGTGGTTAACTTGGCAAATTGAAAAATTTGGGTTTATATAGCTTCGTGGTTCAGTTGAGCACTGTGATGCTTTGATTACATCTCTCGAAATTTCTTGAAAAATTTTAATAGCTTCTGTATCTGCACATTCAATAGTATATGATAATACTTGAATTGAATCATCCTCCATTATTGCTAAGGATCCCAAAGTTAAAATACCTTGTGATGTTAAAAATTTAGTAACAACTTCAGAATCATCTAAAATTGCTATAAATAAATAAAAAATAAATAAAAATTAATTTAATATATAAATTTTTGAACTAGTTGGAAAAAAATACTTACTTGAAACCGATGAGTTAAAGCTATTTTCATGTTGTTTGACAGTCGAAAACTCGCTATTATATTTACTACTTTTATTATTATTATTATTATCATTACTAATGTTATTATTATTGTTGTTAATATTAATGGAGATACTATTATTTTTATAATTATCACTATAAAAATTTTTATTATTATTATTATTATAATTGTAAATATTATAGTTATTATTTTTACTATTACTATTATTATTGGGTTTATTATTTATTGTTTCTTTTAAAACTATGTCATTTCCATCATCATCAGAATTATTATAGTCATCATAATAATCTTCATTATCATCATTATCTTCATAATCATTATATTCATCTTCATCATTGTCGTACTCTACTCCATATTGGTCATCTTCATTTTTTAGTTGCTCTTTTTCTTCTTCCTTTTTTTTCTTTGGTAAATCTTCTTTTATTTGATCTGGTTTTAATTCCACATTATAATCTTTAAAAATTTTGATAATTTCACTTGTTAATTCATCTGTTGGTTCATCATCCTCTCCAACAATAAAGTTCTTGTTCATTTTTATTTGTTTTATTTATTATTGAAAATAAATATATCTTTATTATTACAAATATAGTGTTGATTATAATATTAATATTTTTTTTTATTAAATAATATTAAATATTAAAAAAAAAAAGAAAATAATTGGAAAAAAAATAAAAAGAAAATAATTGATTTTTGGGGGTAAAATTTTAAGTTTTTTATTTTTTTTTATATTTTTTTTATATTTTTTTTATTTTTTTTTTGAGAAATTAATTTAAAAAAAATATTTTCTTAAGCCATTGATATTTACAAAAAAAAAAAAACTTAACCAATAGAATCATAAAAATAATAAAAATAATGAAAATAATAATAAAATAAAATAAAAAACAAATTTAACTAAATATGGATCAAATTAATTGTTTCAATTGATTAGTTTTTTAGACAAAAATTTCCCATTTTTTTAAAAAATAATGTTTTATATTATTGTAATTTGCCTACGTTGGCAATTATCGTAATTTATAAAAAAAAAATTTTCGGTTTTTAGTAATCAAAATTTTTTTTTTATTTTTTTATATTTTTTTATTACTTATTTATTTAAACAAATAGTTATAAAGGTAAATTTTATTTTTATCTTTTCTTTTATTTTAAGAATTTTTTTTTTCTTTTTTTTTTTGTTTTCAAGAAATAAAACCGGTTTTTAGAAATTAAAAACCTTTTTTTTTATTTTTTTTAATTTTATTTTTTAATTTTATTTTTTAATTTAAAATAAAATTTTTTTTTTAAATTCGTCCCATTTGTTTTTTTTATTTATTTATATATAATAGTAATAGATATTAATTGTTTAATATTAAGTAAAAAAAATTAAAAAATGAATAATAATATATTTTATTCAACTTTTTTAGTTTTTTTAATTTTTTCAGTTATCAATTGTCAAGATCCAAAAGTAATTCCAACTATTAGTAAAGAATACTCAACATATGTCTCTTTTAATAGTCTTGATTATAAGAGCACAATAGCTTACAAAGAAAAAAGTAGTTCAAATTTTTTATTAAATGAAATTACTTCTGGATATAAAGTTTATTCCGATCTTTTAAACAATAGAAAGGTTTTTCAAAATATAAATGGAACATTAAGTCAATTTGTTCTGCCATCAGATTCTCACCTTTTTAAACCATCATACGAAATTATTGAATCTTTTAAAGATATGTCATTTGAAGGTAATTATATATTAATAATTAAAAAAAAACAAAAACAAAAATAATTAATTAAAATTTTTATAAAGGAACTACCATTATTGACAGAGGAATCGAATGTGACGCATTTAAACAATCTATAAATGAAATTCCAATGGTATTTGACATTGTCTCAAGCTTTTCAGTAAGCAATGCTAATATTGAAAATATTCAAAAAATATTTATCGATTTCAAATCTGAGGACGTTAAAGATACTATTTTTGATTTTCAATGCACATTTAAAGATGGTATAACAAAATGTAGTGTTAGCTCCCAAAAAAATGAAAAATTGGAGAATATAAAATTAGAGAATAATTTAGAGTTATTAAGTTTAGATTCAAAAGCCTCATCAGAGTCAACAGATTCAAAAGCCTCAACAGATTCAAAAGCCTCATCAGATTCAACAGATTCAACAGATTCAAAAGCCTCATCAGATTCAACAGATTCAAAAGCCTCATCAGATTCAACAGATTCAAAAGCCTCATCAGATTCAACAGATTCAAAAGCCTCATCAGATTCAACAGATTCAAAAGCCTCATCAGATTCAAAAGCCTCATCAGATTCAACAGATTCAAAAGCCTCATCAGATTCAAAAGCCTCATCAGATTCATCAGATTCAAAAGCCTCATCAGATTCAAAAGCCTCATCAGATTCAAAAGCCTCATCAGATTCAACAGATTCAAAAGCCTCATCAGATTCAACAGATTCAAAAGCCTCATCAGATTCAAAAGCCTCATCATCCTCATCATTAGACTCATCATCCTCATCATCATCCTCATCATTAGACTCATCCTCATCATCATCCTCATCATCCTCATCATCCTCATCATCATCCTCATCATCATCCTCATCATCATCCTCATCATCCTCATCATCATCCTCATCAGATTCATCAAATACAATTGAATATACATATAAAAATGTACTACTCCTTAAAGATATAGAGGGCTTTGGTAATGTCGCTGAAGTTGTTTCCGAAAATACAACTATTTTTTTTGATGCCAATGGCAACATAAGAGCTTTTTTTGATAGCAAAACCAGTTATCCAGTTCGAATTACTATTGAAGGTGATTATAAAGATTTCCAAGATAATACAAACAAATTTAGCATTAACATTGGATATGTTGATTGGACACCAACACAATTGGTTGATGATATCTCAAGTGTTTTCGATAAATATGACAGTTACCCATCAATTTCAATGGAGGGAGGAGGCGATTTCCCAAAAGGTGAAATCAAAGATGCCAAATCACCACTCAAAATCAACCCAACCACTTTTAGTACAGTCTTTGAACTAGTTTCAAATGGAGTTATTAGTTCATTAAAATGGTCCCACAATGAAATATTAGATACATTCGATATTGACAGCACAAACAAATCTGAAAGTTTAGTAAATATTTTCAAAGATGGATCCCTTCAACAAAATCAATATAGCTTAGTTTGTGACAAATCAACAAAACTGGTAACAGATTTTGTTGATTCAGAGCTCATTAGCCTTTTAGTTGGCTCAACAACTTTAAACTTTCAATTGGACCCCGTAACAGATATTAAAAGATCAGTTATAGTTAATAAATGGACTGCCACATCCGAAACCAAAACTTACACCATTTATACTTATGCTCAAGGTTGGTCTTTCCCACTTAGAAATCTTTCCACTTTAACCGATGCAGACTATTCAATTCCATTAGCCATTCAAATTGAAGATAGTGCTGCACCAGAATCAAAAAAATATTGGGATCTCTTTGAATATAATAATAAAGTTGTTGAAACTCAAATCATCTCAAAAGAATCATGCTTCCCAGATCTTCCAACCAAATATTCTACATATGTAACAGTCAACGATATTAAATCTGGTTCTACTTTACAATTCAAAGAAACCTATCTTGAGGGTAACACTTACACTAAAGGTAAACTTTTTAATTCACAAGCTGAAATGGTACTTTTAAAGAATGGATCAGTTGTTCAATGTTATGAAAAAGTTTGCACTTTATTTGATTTCGCAGTTTCAAATTCAGCAGATTACAATTCAACCATTCATACTCAATTTAATTCAGATGGTCTTGGTCCAATCCAATATATTGGTGGTCAATCATGGAGCAGAAAAGACTCAGATTTTGTTTATAATTATAATTTCGATACCAATCTTTTACCAAAGAATGTTCAAATTAAATCATCAAATATTGTACAAAAAACTATTGATTTATATTTAATTTCTTCGGAAGCCACAGCTTTTGGATTTACAGTTAATAAAGTTGACACAAAAGAAGATAGCTTATATAAACCAAAAGAGTTTACTGGATATCAATTAGGAACAATCGATACTGGTAAATATCCATCAATTACTACAAATTTCTCAGCCTACATTCAAATTGTTACATCATACACAAATGGTACCAATAGTGTATCATACGTCAACTGGCAACATTCTAAGGATAGACTTTCAGAAAGATTTGTTTTCTATGGTGCCAATATTACCAATTCCACTAGTATTGATATTTGTTACCTTGATGCTTCATTAACACATGTCAATGTATCGATCAATGATGCAGCCACCAAAGGTCCATTTGAAAAGAGCTCACAACTTCCAGAATTTGTTAAAGAGTCTTTAATTTCAAAAATCCTTTTGGACACTGTCTATTTAAGAAATGCTTCTATTTTACCAGAATACAGCACCTCAAATAATATTCCATCATTAGCACTTAATAATATTTATAACACTTCAGCTTTATTCTACCCATTAAATTGGAACTATCAAGTAGATAAACAAAATACCTCAACTGTTATTTCAATTTCACATACTTATTCAGATGGTACCGTTGTTTCATGGAATGTTTTCAAATATGATACATCCGTAGATCCAGAAGCCTACTCTAAATGTACACCAATTGTTCCAACTAAACATAAAATCAAGATTTCAGGTGCAGGTATTGGTGTAGTTATCGCTGTTCTATTTATTGTTGTTGGTGGTGCAGCTGGCACTGCCTTCTATATGTACAAAAAAAATAAAATTATTCCAACTCCACCACATATTTTATTAGAGGATAAAGATTTAATTAGTCAACAAGAAAAAGATAGAATGTATGAAAATTAATCCTCATTGGATAAAAATAAAAAAATAAAAAAAAAAGAATAAATTTACATTTTTAATATATAATTATAATTTACATTGCTTAATTGGTTAAAACCAATTTATAGTTTTATTTTTTTAATTTTATTTCTATTTAAAATATAGTTTTCTTGTAAAATAGTTGATTCTTTGGGGTATAGCTGTCTTTTAATATATTTGTATGAAAAATTTGGAACTAGACATATGAAAATCATTATTATAATCATTAAATAAAATTTTAAAAGTGATAGATCGAAATAATATACATAATATGAGGATGGGATGGCATCTAACATTGCACTTGTGATAATTGCTACCATAATGTAAATAAATAAACTTCCCCATATACCAATATGCACAATAAAGTTCCAATATTTGATATCCAGGGCAGCTTTTAATAAAATGGTAATAACTGCATAAGCTGAACAGAAAGAGGCCATCATAGTGAGACCACCCATTTTACCATATTGATTTACAATATCATCATTATTTACCAATAAATAAAGTCCAAAATACATTGCTACAGAGTGATATAATCCACCGATAATACTTTTTACAATTGTGAGATATTTGAATTGTTTACCGCTTTGCACCTCTTTGAATAGTTGGGGGTTCTTTTCTATTACTCTTTCATTGACATCTTTTTCGAACAAGGCCATAAAATATGGTGGGGCTGATGTAATAACAGTATTAAAAGTTGTAATTAATGCATCTTCATAAAAGGTTTGTGACGACCAACCAGAGTGTATTGAAAATAAGAAGGAGATGAAAAAGAATGTAACATTTTTATAAAAGGAATACTTGATACATGCAGAGTTTCTAATGATTGAATAACGGCCATGAACGGAAATTAATCGTACCAGATGTCTAAATCTCAGTATTGAGTAGTCTGATGCACGAGCTGCTTGGGTACCTTCATGCCCCATAATTCCAACACCTATATGTGCCTCTTGGATCATACTAACATCGTTGGCACCATCACCAATTGATAGGCAAATTTCTTTTGTATTCTTTTTAACCATTCTAACTACCAATGCTTTTTGAATGGGTGTTGTACGACAGCAGATTAAACTATGGCATTTTGATGATATTTTTAAAAATTCTTCTTGGAAATCTTTTAATATATAGATTAGAGACTCTCCATCAACTACAATTGAGATATCTTTTTTATCCATTTCCGATTGATTTAGATACTTTTCATTAATTGATAGTAATAGTTGTTTACATTCCTCTTGTGATTTGATATTAATAATGATTAGATGGTTTTTGGGATTTAATAGTTTACATGAATAACCTATATTAATAGCAGTCTCTTGTTTATCACCAGTAATAACCCAGATCTTGATATTTGCTTTTAAAAGATATTCTATGCTTTCTGGAACACCGTTTTGTAATTTATCTTCAATTGCTGTGCATCCTATTAAACAAAGATCTATTTCTAATTGTTCATAAAGTTCGTTAAGTCTTTCATCCCTATCTTCGATTAATTGTAATGCTTGATTGTATTCTATAAACCATTGGTCAAAATAGTTTTGAGGTATTTCTTTCATTGCTAAAATTAAAGTACGCAAACCTTCTGTAGAAAATTGTTGAATATGCTCTTTAGTTTTGATTAAAAGATCTGATTGCTTTTCCATATTTGAAAGCTTTTCAATCATTATAGAGTCAGCACCTTTGGTATATATAAAAATTTTCATAGTTTCTGGGTCTCTAACACAAACCGACATCCTTCTTCTTTCAGATGTAAAGTCCATTACAGCAAGCAGTTGAAATACCTTTTCAGTATTTAAAATTTTAATTTTAATTTCACTTGTTGATCTACTTTTAAATTGATACCTGTTAATTTTTGCACATTCTAATAATGAAATTTCATCTGGAGATTGGGATTGATAAACTTCATTTGAATCCTTGTCTATTTCGCAAATAGCAGAGTTGCAGATACACATATTTAATAAAAATTCTGAGATATACTTTTGGTGATCCGTGGGTTCTTTATTCGATGAAATACTTGTTGGAGAGTTTTTAAAGCTATCGTTGTTATCTTCATTATTGAATAGTTCATTTGAAAGTTGGGATCTCATTGCATTATTATAAACCTTGCCATTAATTGAACATTTTGAAAATACCATCTTGTTTTCTGTGAGTGTACCTGTTTTATCACTAAAAATATATTTAACTAGGGCCAATTCATCGTTTAAGTTACTATTTTTTACAGACATATATTTATTTGAACTATTTTGATATTCATTATTTTCTTCTAACTCGATTGTGCTATATTGTTGGTTTTTTATTTTATTTTGATCTTGTTGTAACATTTCAATGTCATTATTACTATTATAATTGTTATTGCTTATATTATTAATAATGTTATCAATTTCTTGTTGCTTATCTTTATATTTATTATCGTTTTGTTGTTCTTGTTTTGAATGCTGTTTCTGTTCATTTTGCTTTATTAAATGTAATTTTCTTAATTTTTCATTTTCTTCAAAATCTAATTGACTTCGATATCTTTTTTCTTTATAGCTCATCAATAAGTCCCATTCCATAAATTTACCCTGTGATACTTTTACAACTTCTAATGTTACCATTAAGGACATTGGCACTAAAAACGAAAGATTTGCAAAATAAGCAACAAAAGTTTTAACTATTACAATTCCTAGACTGTCTGGATCTTCGTCTCCCATCCAAAGATACCAACTTTTATTTGTTGTATCATTTGCAACCTTGGACCCGATAATAGTTGAAATTATTACCAATACTATTTTGAAAGCAAAAATTCCCAAAACTGATTTACTTATCTTTTTTTCTATACTTGAATATTTTGATGGTGGGCTCTTTTGATTTAAACTAAGTTTGGTATCTTTTCCACAATATACCACCAGACCATAAAGAGAATTTGGTAAGTTTCTTAACTTTGATCCCCTTAATAATAGTTGTTTTTCTGATATTGACTCTTGGCAGCTTATTCCACTCTGTACATTTTCTAAACTAAATTTTCCTTTAAACTTGTAAAGATTATTATTTGGTAGCTCGCATTCTACTTTTAAATTGAAGTTGTTATTATCATAGTCTAAAATTTCGTCAAATTCATTTAAATTGTTGGTTGCTTTAATTGCTTTAAATATTTTTAAATTGGTTTCCCCATCCAATTGAGATGTTTCTACATAACATACACCATCTTCGATTGGTGTTTTTAATACCAAAATATCGGCAGGTATTGACTGGTCGTTGTTTAATTTGATAATATCGCCAACTCTAATCGATTTGCTTTTGATAGATTCAAATTCTTTTTTTTCTCTATTATAAACTTCATATGATCGGCTATTTGATGCTGTATCTGCTTGGTATCTTCTATAATCTTCGAAACCATCTTTAATCATTGTTACACCCAATACAAATCCAAGTGGTAAAAGTGTAGTTTCTGGTCCAAGTGGTGATACTTCTGGTATTAATGTTATAATTGCGATAACTATAAAATAAATCTTTTTAAATAATGAAAAAAATAATAAATTTTATATTAATATAATTTTTAATTTCTTTTTTTGTGTTTTTAATAAACATACATTTGTTAACTTTTTAAATTGCTCCAAAAGGTTTTTAATTATAAAATTATATCTTGTATATTTTGTAGTTGATATTTCATTGCTTGAAAATCCATTGTTAAAATATTGGTTGCTGATATCTTTTTTTTTTTTCTTTTGATTTTGATCTTTATCTTTATCTTTAAAACTATCTTTAATTTTATTTGAATCGATCTCTATTATTGGATAACTTAATCTTTGTTTTTTTTTATTTAAATTATTTTTTATCTTTTTAATTTTTATCATTGTTAAAATTTATAAAAATAAAAATAAAATATTAATATTTATAAAATTAAATAATTTATATATGCATTAAATATTTATAAATATTTATTTATTATTTATTGATAATTTTTGTTATTAAAATAAATAAAATTTAAAATAATAAAAAAATAAATATTTTTTTTTAAAAACATAAAATGAATAAATTTAATTTTATTTATAGCAACCACACCACTTTTTTTTGTCGATTTGTGTGTGGGTTTTTTTTTTTAAATTAATTGTGTTTTATTATATTTTAATTTTACTATAAATGAATAAACAAATAAATAGATAGAGATAATAAACAAAAACAAATATTTTTTTTTTTTTTTTAAAGAAAATAATTTTTTTAATTTTTTATTTTCTTTCTTTTTTAAATAAATTAAAATTAATGTATGGTACCGTTTTATCACCTCACATAGCGTTATAAATAGGTTGAATATGACAAAAAAATTTGAAAATATTTTTTTAGCAAATCATGATAAAATATCTAACTTTTATTATAAAACTTAAACATAAACAATTAAAAAAAAAAAAATTGGAAAAAATTAAAAAAAAAAATTATTTTTTTAATTTATTTTTTTATTTTTATTTTTTTTATAATAACGCTTATTAATGATAACATGTGCATGTCGATATTGAAATTTGGTGCATAATTGTAATGTAGCTATTTGTAAAGCATCATGAATAAAATTATGATTCGCTGTCATTTTTGTCTTTTTTTTGTAAATATTATGGGTATAATGAATTTATTTTATTGTTTTTATTATTTTTAATATTATAATTTTTGAAATTTATTAAAAAAGAAAATAATAACAGTGTTGTAAAAAAATAAAATAGAGTGTGATTTATATTGTTTAGAGGAAAAATATATATATCTGCAACATTTAATAACACACCCACAGTAATTCCATTTAGATGACCAATAATTGAAGAGCTCTTTATTATAATAGATGAATATAGTAATGATAAAAATGGTAAAAAACTAATAATTTCATTACCATTTAATGATATTAATCTTATATTAACCACCATTAACCCAAAGGCGATGCTTGTAAAACAAAAAAAATGGGGTTAATAAATATAATAAGGGTTTTTTTATAATAATTTAAATATTACCAAGAGTAACCTAAATAATGATTATTTTCGCCTAATTGAGGGTTTTGTTTACCATTTGCTTTTTTAAATATATACAGTTCCAATAAAAATAATATATTTGTAAACAACACCAATAGTATGGTACATATAAAGTAATAATAAGATCCTTTGACCACTTCAATCTCTTTTGAGGACCAAATCGAAATTGAATTAAATATAAAATGAATGAAATTTAAGTGGGAAAAGCTAGAAAATATAATTCTCCAAAATTGCTTTTTATTTATAATTTCTTAATATAAAAAATAAAATTTTAATAATATTAATAAGTAATAAAAAAATAACTTTTAATAAAAATACCTACCATTATAATGAAATGATATAATTGTTACATCGATATCATATGCATAATGATATACCCAAATACACAAATTAATGATTATTATAAAAATTGTTATCGGTGTTTGTTTTATTTGATTAACTAATTCATTTTGTTCTATTATTGTTTGCATTTTATATTAAAAAAAAAAGAAAAAAAAAACAAAAAAAAAGGGGTTAAAAAAAGTGGGGTTAAAAAAAATTATATAAATAAATAAATAATTAAATAAATAAATAAATAAATAAATAAACAAATAAATAAATAAATAAAATAGGGGTAAATAAAAATATTTACTTTTTATTACTAAAAAATTGATTAAATAGTGGATATGCTGATTCTAAAAAATCATAGTCTTTTGATTTTACTTTTATGGTTTTTAAATTATAATAATTATAAAATCCATTTTCGTCTATTGATGTTGTGATTTTGGGGTTGGATCCTTTGATTGCAATAGTTTCTAAATTCTGAAAATATTTTAAATCTATTTCGCCCACAAAAAAAAAGTTTAAAATTAGCTTTTTAATTGAGTTACTTGGTAAGTCTTCTTTTGAAAATTGAATGAAATCTTTAGAATATGAGAGATCTAAAACTTCTAAATTTTTGTATTTATTAATTGATGGTTTTTCGTTATAAATATAAAATTCTAATGGGAGCATTTTCATTGTTAAAAGTTTTTCTGGTGAATTTTCAAACTGGTTGTAATATGATTTGGAAAAAACTATTGTATAAGGGTTGCTGGGTTTAATAAATTTGTTGTAGGATAAATTTGAAATATTTAGGAATTCTAAAGAGTATGGTAAGCTTCCTTCTATAAGTTCTTGGTTGAAGCATTTCCCAAATTTTAGTTTTTTAAGTGTTGGTGGTAATACATTTATGCCAATGGGTTGATTAAATATGTCGCCAAAGTCTATAGAGGTTAGTTGAGTGTGTTTAAATAAGCCTTCTTCGATTAAAGGAAACCCACCATTATTAAAGCCTTTTTCTATCTGAAGCCTTGATGGATGATGATTTTTAAAACTAAGCTGCTTTAAACTATTTGGTAAAAATTGTTTTTTTAATTGTTGATTAAAGGAATTACCAGACCAATGTAAACTAAACTCTAACTTTTCGATAGTGTCGGGAAGAACAACTTTGTCATGATCGAAGTTTGAACCACCATAAAATATAAAAGTTTTTAATGTTTTAGGTAACATTTCAGTTGTAATTGGAAAGGCACTTTCTAACATTTCTAAATCAAGATGCTTTAGTTGGGATGGTAATCTGAAATCTAATGAGGCACCGCAATACATTTCTAAATATGTTAAAGACTGAGGAAAAACAAAACCATTTTCCATTGGGAGATGGACATGGCCAAGAAAATTTTTTTCTAATTTTAAAAAAAGTAAATTATCTGGTAAGGTTTTTGGTGTTAGTGTAGAGTCTCTGTCCATTAAATATTTGAGTTTGGTAACTGACTGTGGTATTGCTCTATTTTTGTTTACTGCTTTATATTGACACTTTAAAATCTTGAGGTTTGGGGGTAGTTCATTTTCCAATGAAAGTTGATATTTTTCTATATTTAAACTTGTGATGGAATTTGGTAGCAACTCTTTAAAATTTAATTTTTTATTACCTGATATTTTTCCAATAAAAATTTTTTGAAGATTTGAATTTTTTATATTTTCATTTGAAAAATCTTCACCAATATTTATTCTACCAAAACTTTTGATAAAACTTGGTACTTTTGAATTAAAATTATAATAGTTATGAAGTTTGATACACTCTATATTTGAAGGTAATATGGTTTCTAAATCAATATCTTTATCAATAGAAAAGGAAAAGATTATTTCAGAAAGATACTCTTTATATTTAAAAATTATAAAATCTTCCAATCTATTAAAATATTTATATCTAAATATATAATATAACCTTAAATGTTTTATAATTAAACTCTTTAAATATATATTGCTCCATATTATTATAAATAGGTTAGGTTTTTCCATTTGATTGTTTTATTATTATGAATTTGATATATTAAAAAATAAAATAAAAATTTTTAGATTTGGACTTTTTTTTTTTTTTATTAAATTTTTAGAAAAATTATGGAAAAAATATTGTGATTGTCTAGCATGTGTGTAAGAGATATCGAAGGAGGATACAATGTAGTTAATTTGTTCTAACTTTTGTGATGTATTATCATCAAAATTCACTTAGTTAATTAATTATAGCTTAAATAGTCATTTAATAAATCAATTATAAAAAATAATTTTAATAATTTGAAAATAATTAAAATAAAAAATAAAAAATAAAAAATAAAAAATTAAAAAAATTAAAAAAATAAAAAAAAATTAATTTATTTTAATATATTTATATAATTAATGGCACAACAAATCAGGAGACAACAACCAACTGATAGGGAATATTATGCAATATCATACGATATTTCAACACCCCATGAACTTGGTGGTACTGCACACCATCTTCCTGTAGACCATGTGGATAAAAATCACCAAACAAATTGGTTTTATAAAACCAAATTTGTTAAGGGGTACTCTTGTAAACAAATATCATTTTGAAAAGGTACAAAAGTCAATGTACCAAAAAGAATGTTCTCTCGCTTATGCTATGGATGTTGCCTACACTCTTCCTGTAACACCGGGGTTAACATGGTTAATGTGCCCTTGTATTGATGCATCGCATCTTAGTAGAATGATCACCGCTGATAATATGGCTCCATTTGAATATGTAGATGATGCTCCTGTTGAAAATCAACATATTAATCAAGAGATTGAGCAAGATTTAAATAACGCAATCCAACAAATGAATATTAATAACGATCAAGTAAATAACTAAACAAACAAACAAACAATTAATAAATAAATAAACAACTTTATTTTTAATTAAATTTATTTTTATTTTTAATTTATTTAAATTTATCTTTATTTAATTTTCTATATTCTTTGGTATATCAGTTCTTTTTTTTACCCATGGTATATCAAGATCTAGTATATTGATATTAAATAAATCTTGAATATCTTCTGCATCCTCATCACCCGCATAGTAAGCGAAAACCCTGCAAATAGAAAACTCTGGAATAGTTCCATCTTCTTTAACTTTAACTGATTGATTTATTAATGAAATTATTTGCAGCTTTTTAATTATCTCGTCCATGTAAGTTTTATATTCTTGAATACAGGCTTCATTACAATTTTCGGAATATTGATTCATGTAGAAAATATCTAGTGTATCGAAAGGGTAATCATGTACCCATTCATGAGGCTTTTTAATACTGTTTTCATTACTCATTTTAATAATAATAAAAATATTAAAAATAAAAAAAATAAAAAATAAAAAATAAAAAAAAATTAAAAATTTGAAAAAATAAAAATAAAATATGAATACATATTTTAAGTTATTTAAATAGGGGTAAATTGTAAAAATGAAAAATAAATAAATATTACAATTTGTATTCATATTTTAAGTTATTTAAATATTATTATTATAATTTAAGTTGTTTTTTATTTTTTATTTAAATAGTAATAAATTAATTATCATTATTAATTAGGTTGATAAAATGAAAACATTATTAGTATCATCATTATTATCACTGCTTTGCTTTGTTAATATAATATCTGCTTTTCATTATATAGGCTACTTAGAAAAACAGTTTGTTGACTCAATTCCAAATACCCTACACATGGGATGGTGAAATAATGTGTATGAAGATCAAGGATGGGAAATGGCCAAAAGTTAAATTCCCGAGAAATGGTTTATTTTGCATTCATGAAACTCGATAACATAATGACACTTTATTACATTGGGAAGGGTTCTCAAATAACTGGCTATGGTTTACATGATATTGGTGACTACTTTGAATTACCATCACTCAAACCAAACCCATTTGGTTCCAGTCTTTACAATTTTGGTGCATGGAGCTTTAGTTTGGAACCAATGAATACACATAATCAATCAGGGTCATGTCTAACGAGTAGTTTACACAATTTACAATTAGAAGTTACAACAAAACCATTAACAGAAGATTACTATCTTGATTTCTACTCAATCTCACCTCAATTTATTCAACAATGGAGTAATGATATTCAACGTGTTTACAATATATAAATAAATAAAAGTTTAAATATATTTTTAAAAAAAAATGTTTTAGTTTTTGAAACCTTTGTTTATGTAAATTATAAATTTACTTATTTAAATTATGTAATCACTAATGTAAATTATAAGTTTACTTATGTAGAATATAAATTTACTTATGTAAATTATTTATTCATTTGTGTAAATAAAATTTTACTTATGTAAAATATAGTTTAGTTATGTAGAATATAAAATTACTTATGTAAAATATAGTTTACTTGTGTAAAATATATTTTAATTATGTAAAATATTTATTCACTTATGTAAATTATTAGTTTGTAATTATCTCTGCTACCACTTCTGATTTTTTAAACAAGCCACTGAAACAATTTATTACTTTTGGTGTTAAAAAACCTACTAATACACCTACTAATACACCAACCATAATTGAAACAAATTCTTTTTGATCAATAGTAAACTTTTCTTCAACAATAATTTGTTTTTGATTTTCATTTTTATTATTAATTGTCTCTGACATTTTAATCTTTTTTTTTTTGGTTTATTATGCACTCTGAGATCTGTATCAATACACTTTAAATCTATATTTTTAATTTCGAAAGACATTGTTAGTAAATAATGTAATAATAATAATAACAAAAACAAACAGATTATTTAGAAAAAGAAATTTTATTTATTTATTTATTTTTTTTTTTTTTTGAAATTGGGAGACCTGATACAGGGAGTTCTGAAAATTTAATATAGTCATTTGGTTTATTGAAATCTTTAACAGGTATCCAACAAAAGAAGAATGCATAAATTCAGTCAAGGTAGAAATGGACTTTGCTTCTAGAATTAAAACTTTAGAAGAGTACGGTATGCAATTATTGGAAGAGAAAAAAGACTTGAGGCGGAAAATAAAGATTTATCTGCTAAAATTATCCATGTATTTACTTCAAAGGATGAATATGTTAATATGTTCAATAGAGAAGTTGGAAAGGCAATACTTCTTAGGGAAATGTTGGAGGAACTTAGAATAAAGAGCCATACAAAAGAAAAAGCTACCCATGAATACTGAGACAGTGAATGAGCTCAAGATGGAGCTTAAGGAGTCAGTTTGAGGCTTCATCAATCGCGCAGAGTTTATTTTCCGTGATCTCAATATCAGTACTAAGAAAGTTTTTTTTTTTTTTAAAAGTGAGGATGATTCTTATGTATTAAGTCATCAGTTTATTCAATATTGTGTTTTTTTTTGTTAGGTATGTGTTTTAAATGCTTATATGAGTTTTACCACACTGCATACAAGTTGGACACGGTAACGTCAATTCGTGTGTGATTCGGAAAATCTGCTGAGACTAGGTTTCGAACCCGGAGCGGTAGCAAGAAAGAGGATCATTCGATAAAAATCTCTAGGAAGATAAAATCTTCAAAAAAGATTCCGGCTTGCCAGACTCGAACTAGCAACCGATTGATAACAATATAATCACTACAGTCAATCGCGCTACCATTGCGCCAAAGCCGGTTATAGTATTTTCTTGTAAAGAATCGGTCCCCGCATCTTTATGGTCCCAAGCAACAAATGCCATAATCAACCAAAACAAATGCAAATGTATAACATTTGATGAAGAAAGCGAATCAATTTATGCTCAATTAGAAGAAGGAAAAACCGAAAGATACTTAGGCTTCAACTTCAACAAAAAAGGGATTCAATCGAAACTCGACCACGTGTCGTTTATTTCGAAATAACAGCTCAATTTGCATCATGGAAAAGTGCAACATCAACACTCAGAGGTAGATTAAACATTTTAAAAACGTACTGCCTGTACATCAATGACATAACAGCGTTAAACGAATTCTCGGACAAATGCACCAGATACGTAAACAACACAAATTATAAAATGACAATAAGCAGACAACGTGCAAGAAAAGACTACGAAAAAGGAGGATTAGGTCTATGGGATATAGAAACAAGAGCAGAAGCACAGAAAGCCTGGACATACGAAAGATATATCAGGGCAATTCAGCCTAATTCATAGTTGAGTAGGTTCCTTTATAATCATCACCAATTAAAGATTCAAATTATAATTCTTTCACCTTTATATATCAAACTATAATAATTTTAAATTAAGGATTAAAAATGCAAAAATATGTAAACCAAGGTATTTTTAAAAAACTAAATTTTCTTTAAAAATATTTTAATTTTTTGATTTATTTTTGATTATTTTAAAAAATTGAAAAAATACTGTATTTACTGAATCTATAAATTGAAAACTATTTTGATTCAAAATTATATTTTTTAAATTATAAAAGTTATAAAATCCATTTTCGTCGATTGATGTTATCATTTTGGGACAGGAGTTGTTGATAGTTAAATACTCTAAATTCTGAAAATATATTAAATCTATTTCGCCAACGAAAGAAGAGGTTAAAATTAGCTTTTTAATTGAGTTACTTGGGAAATTTTCTTTTGAAAATTGAATGAAATCGTATAAATATGAGAGATCCAAAACTTCTAAATTTATAAAAATTTTAATTGATGGCGGTTCTATTTTTTCGTAATTATATGATGGGGATACTATTAGTGCTAAAAGTTTTTCTGGTGAATTTTTAAACTGGTTATGGTATGATTTACAATTAACCATTGTATAAGGATTACTGACACAAATGGTTTTGTTGTATGTATATTTTGAAACTGATAAATATTCTAAAGAGTGTGGTAAGCTTCCTTGGATTAAATCTTGATCAAAGCTATTTCCCAATATTAGTTTTTTAAGTGTTGGTGGTAATACATTTATGCCAATGGGTTGATTAAATATGTCGCCAAAGTCTATAGAGGTTAGTTGAGTGTGTTTAAATAAGCCTTCTTCGATTAAAGGAAACCCACCATTATTAAAGCCTTTTTCTATCTGAAGCCTTGATGGATGATGATTTTTAAAACTAAGCTGCTTTAAACTATTTGGTAAAAATTGTTTTTTTAATTGTTGATTAAAGGAATTACCAGACCAATGTAAACTAAACTCTAAATTTTCGATAGTGTCGGGAAGAACAACATTGTCATGATCGAAGTTTGAACCACCATGGAAAAATAAAGTTTTTAATGTTTTAGGTAACATTTCAGTTTTAATATGATAATCACTTTCTCCCATTTCTAAATCAAGATGCTCTAGTTGGGGTGGTAATTTGAAATACAATGAGTAACCACAATATATATCTAAATATGTTAAAGACTCGGGAAAAACAAAACCATTTTCTATAGAAAGATGATGAATATCCGGGAATATTTTTTCTATTGTTAAAGAGAGTAAATTATCTGGTAAGGTTTTTGGTCTAAAGGTTGATCTTGACTCCATTAAATATTTGAGTTTGGTAACTGACTGTGGTATTGCTCTATTTTTATTTGCTGTATTATTTTGACACTTTAAAATCTTGAGGTTTGGGGGTAGTTCATTTTTCAATGAATATTGATATTTTTCTATATTTAAACTTGTGATGGAATCAGGCAGCAATTTTTTAAAATTTAATTTTTTATAACTTTTTATTTTTATTTTTTGAAGATTTGAATTTTTTATATTTTCATTTGAAAAATCATCATTAATTGTTAATGGACCTATACTCTTAATAAAACTTGGTACTTTTGTATTAAATATGCAATCTAATTTTAATTTGATACATTCTATATTTGGAGGTAATATGGTTTCTAAATCGATATTTGGTCCAACAGGAAAAGAAAAGTATATTTCACACAGATACTCTTTATGCTTAAAATTTATAAAATCTTCTAAATTATGAAAAGACCTATATCTAAAAATATTAAATAACCTTAAATATTTTAAAATTATATTTTTTAAATATATATTGCCCCATATTATTATAAATGAGTTTGATTTTTCCATTTGATTTTCTATATATATTTTATATCTTGATTGTTTATTAAAAATGAAATCAAAAAATTAAATCAAAAAAAATTTAAAAAAAAAAAAAAAAAATTAAAAATTTTTAAAATTTTATAAATTTTTTTTTTATTATTTTATATTATTTTTATTTTACCTTTATTATAATTTATAATATTTTATTTAGGTTAAGTAAACCCAATAATTAAAACAACTATGGATTTAAAATTAATCGTTAACTAAGAATTTTATTTTAATATTTTTTGGTTATTTAATTTTAGGTACCTTGTGTTCAATGTAATTTATAATTCAAAATAGAGGAAAAAGAAGAAAAGAAATTTAAGTTTAGAATAAATAATTAGTAATTTTTAATAAAGATAAGTTATTTTAAAAAATAATTTTGGTTTTGTATTTTATTATTATAATATATTTTATAAATAAACATCGATCTAATTTAAAGAAGAGATGAACATTTATATATACCTCTCATTTAAATTTTAGTTCTTTTCTTTAATAATAAACAAGAAAGTGCCCTATGAACAAACAAACCGTGATGTTATTACACATTGTCCAAACATAGTGGGGTACTAAAAAAAACTTTTTGTAACTCTTCCCCGTTGGTCTAGTGGTGAGGATTTTCGCCTGTCACGCGAAAGGCCCGGGTTCAATTCCCGGACGGGGAGTTTTTTTTCACTATAATAATTTCTTCCTGGTGATTTAAATTATAATAAGTTGTAATGTAAATGGTTACTACTTCACAGGTACCGGAATCCATAGAAAACTACCAGAAATACTGAATTCTATAAGATCCTCGTTATCATTATGGAAAACAACAAGTAACTCAATTAAAACAAAAGTAAACATCCTTAAATCCTTTGCACTATCAAGAATAACATATTACTCGTATATTGAAGCATACAAAATCCCATTGTTGATTGTGTTATAATGTTGTGAATAGGTTATATTCTATTTTTATTGTAATTATTGTTGTATTTATTATTGTTATTACTATTGTAATTGTTATGGATTGCAAAATATTTATTTACTAAATAAACTAATGAAAAAATAATAATAGCAAATAATATAAAAAAAACAATCATTAATTGATCCATTTTTAAATGGTAATTAATAAATAGTTATTGAATGTGTAGATTATTATTATAAAAAATTTAAAGTATATGATTATTTGTATGTGATTAAAATAATAATGAATAAAAAAAAAAATCCTTTATAAATACTATAAAAAAAATGTAAATTAAAAAAAAAAAATGTAAATTAAAAAAAAATAAAAAAAAATAAAATAATCCAAACACTAAAAAAAGAAAAAAGTAAATAAAAAAATTAAAATTTTTAAGCTCTACCACAAAAAGAAATGCAATCTAAACAATCATTGATAAAAATTAAACAGTGTGTTAAAAGTAAAAGAAAAAGTGGGTGATTGATTATTATAATGAAAAAAAATTTTAAAAAAGTTAAACAGTGGTTAAATGTATATAGAAAAAGTGTTTGGTTGATTATTATAATATAAAAAATTAATTAATAACAGTTTTTAAATCATATGAAAAAATTCCTTACTACTATTAAAGTTTTTATAATAAATATATACCATTTTTTTTTTTATATATTAGATTTGGCATTTTTTATAAAAAAGTAAATTTATTTGGTAAAAAATTAAAAATATAAATGAACATATATGGTATAACTATATATTTTGTTTTTTAGGGAAATTAAATAAATAATTATATTTTGATTTGAAGTAAATATAAAAATTAAATTTTTTTTATTTTTTTTTTAATTTATTTATTTTTATAATATTTTTTTTTATTTTTTTTTTCATCACCAAAATATAATAATTAAGAAATTATAGTAACAATGAATATACCAGAAGAGATTTATAATTGTTCTAACAGATTATTGAATAAATTATTATTATTAAATAATTTATTTATAAAATTATAATAATTTAATGAAATCGAAAGTTTGAACATCATTGGTATTGGTAATGGATTTGAATGAAATTACTAAATTACCGTTTTCGAATGACCATAACCAATATCCATTTTGTGTGGCATTGTGTTTAATAACAATAGTACGATTTGAGGTGGCTTCTTGTACAGCTTCTAATACCATTTCATCAGCACAACGTTTAGCGAGATTGGCTGCAACTTTTTCGACAACACCTGCAAAAATATGACCAAAACTATTTTTTAAATCGGCAGCAACATGTGGGTAAACGGCTTCTAATGATGCTTGGTCGATGGTCCAGTCGGTATCGGATTTCATTGCTTTTTTAACAGCTGCTAAATTAGCATCCATTTTAGCTTGATTTTCTTTAATATTTAAACGGGTCATTAAAGAGTAAGTGCCTTGTGAAGGAAGAAGAGTTTCTAATTTAGCGGTGAATACATCATTAGTGTTACAGATCTTTGGACGGAATGAGACTACACAGTTACCATCAGCGAATGAGTATTGCCAGTATGATGGTAATTTTTCATCAGCGGCAACAAAAACAATTTTCTTATTAGGAACAGCTGCTAAGAAGGCCTCTTTGACCATTTCGTTCTTACTGACCTTAGTATCGATATTTTTAGCCAAGTTACCAACAACATCTTTGTAAAAAATGGATCCACAGCTATTGGTTACCCAGTTATCGTTACATTTGGTAATGATATCTTCGAAATCAAATACAATTTCAAATGGTTCACCTAAAGCTTTTTCAATGGTAGCTAAATGAGTTTTGAAGGTTTCTTCGTTATCTTTTAATGATTTTCTTGAAGTTAATGATAATGGCATTTTGTTTATTTTATTATTATTAGTTATAATTGGTTTAAGGTGTTTTTATTTGTATTTTATATTTCATTAAAATCAATTGATTAATTTTATCTTTTTATACTATTTTTTAAAAAAATAAAATAAAAAATATTAAGAAAAAATATATGAAAAAAACTAAGAACCACCCCTAAAAACAAATAAATAATTTGCTTACCTATTATTCCTTTTTTTTTCTTTCATTTTTACTTTTTTTTTTAGATTTTTTTTCTTTAGATTTTTTTTTTTTTTTTTTTGGATTTTTTCTAAAGATTAAAAATTTATATTATAAAATAAAAAGTCAAATATTGTAATTTATTATCATAATTATTTATTATTTCTATTATTATTTATAACTATATATATATTTAAAACTCTATAGCATTTTAATATGACATTTAGTTTGAAACTAATCTCTAGTGCTACTGTAATTACTATCAATCCTACTATTACAATTACTATTGTTATTGAATATATGCTGTTACTTTGATAATAATAGTGAATCTCTATAACTAATAAGTTTGCAAACAGATTTCTAACTCCTCAATATTACCTTTGGGACTTTTGTTTTCGAGTTCTGCTTTTGATAAGAGAATTTTAAGCTGCACTTCTTTCTTGATTAATTTTAGCCTTATTCTTAATGTTTATAGATCTACTACCAAAAATGAGTATTGATATTTGTAAATATATATATATATATATTATTTTTGTTTCATGATTTATAATAAAAAAATATAAATTATTGAAATATAAAATTAAATTAAAAAAAAATAAAAAATTAAATAAAAATTAAAAAAAAAAATAAAAAAAAAATAAATAAATAAAATAAGAAAAGACTATTTTTTGTTTGTAATATCTTTATTTAATATATTTTATCGATTTTATGATTATGAGAATGTAGAGCATATATATATATGATTGAGCTTATGTATATATTGTTTAATCTTTAAAAAAGATGAATATTTATTTTTCTTCAGGCCATGAATCTTCTCTTGGCCATGAATCCTCTCTTGGCCATGAGTCTTCTCTTGGCCATGAGTCTTCTCTTGGCCATGAATCTTCATTTTGTTCTTTTGGATCTCTAGTGGCACATTCTTTCCAATCTTTACATTTTTCTAAAAACCCACCCCAATATCTATAACCATATTGAAGGTATACTAATTCTGCACATTGGGCATTTACTTTTGGATTAAGTAAATCTTTTTCACTACTGCAAAAATCTTTACACAATGTGTAACAAAAATCTTTATTGAGATTCCTAAAATAATAAAAATTTATTAATTAATTTTATTATTAGATTTATTAATATATTAATTTTAAAAAAAATTTTATTATTAATATTACATACCATAAACCAAATCCTTCATCATTTATTTGATACATATTCCAAGCATGAGATGAATAAAATGAAAGGCAAACCATAGTACTAGATACTGGTTCTTCAAAAAATTGATTTGTTAATTCTTTAATTTCACTACATGACATATCAGATGAACTAACCAAAGCTGATAATCCTACAATTGATATTATTTGTAATAAAAGTTTATTTATTTGAACCATTTTTATAAAATTTTTATATTTATTAAAAAAAAATTAATTTAATTTTTTGTTTTATAGTTTTTTTAAAAAATAAAAAATTATAAAATTTATTCATTTTTATTCAAAAAATCAAGATTCTAAGGAAAAATTGGTAGATTTTTTTTTTCACACATCATCATAAATTTTCTTTGGAAAAAGTTTCGAATTATAATATTTCATTATATTTTGAAATTTTGTAAGTTGTTTTTATTAAAGAAAAGTTTTGGTGTAAAAACTAAATAGTTGGGGGTGTTTATTTTAATATCTTTTTTTATTCCTCATATATTTCCTTTTTAAAAATAATAAAAAAATTTTAAATAAATTATAATTGGAAAAAAGCTATTATTATTATTAATTACTTTTCTATAAATCTTTTTTTTTAAAAAAAACATATGAATATTTTTTATTTTATTTGAATTTTTTTAAATTGCTTTGGAAAAAAAGTTTTGGAAAAAACTATGGAATAGAATGGTTGTGGGTGTTTTTAAAAAAATGATTATGGTATCTTTTTATTTCATCATCTATTTCCTTTAAAACTATAAATTATAAATTTAAATATATTGTGAATAGAAAAAAAAAGTAATTTTTTATATTTTATTTTAAAATTTAATCTGATCGACCAGTAAATTTTTTTAAACTACTGACAATCTTTTTATTTAACATGTCAGCACAACCCATTAAACAACCCATTGACGAACCTAAACCCATTAATATTGGAATAGCTAAATTTCCTCTTTTTCTTAAATGAAAACCTGCTAAAAAACCTGCTGCTGTACCACCAGCAATTGAGTTAAGAACTGAATCGCCTGCATTATGTCTTAATAATGTCTCAACACCACAAAAAACTGTTGTATAAATACCACATCTATAACTAAAAACGAATGCATTTCTAACAACTAGTAAACCGAGTGTTTTTTTTGAATTTAATTGAATCTTTTTTATATTTTAATATTAAAATAATAATAATAATAATTAATAAATTATTATTATTATGAAAAAATGAAATGAAATTTTAGTAACTTACAGATGACATTGATAATGGACTATGAGCATTTTTTGCAATTGAATCTCTTAAATATTTATTACCAACTGAAAAACCATGAGCACCACCCACTATTAAACCAGCAAATGACATAATACTAATTTGATCTGCTAAAACTTTAAAATCTGGATGTGTAACAACTGAATTTATTAATGGATATTTTTTATACCATGGGTCTTTTTCGATCGGTGGAGGAATTTTCTTTGTTGTTAAAGCTTTATTAATTTCAACAATTTCTCTTTCTAAATATAATCTTCTTTTTTCCAATTGCTCTAAACTATAATTTTCACCATTTAATTTTAAAATTTCTTTAATATCTTTTGCATCTTGATTTATAACATTTTCTTTTTTATCCTCTTCTTCTTTAATTTTATTAAATCTATCTGTAATTGATTCTTTTTTATTATTATTATTATTGTTGTTATTATTATTACTATTATTAATAATATTATTATTATTATTAAAACTCATTTTATTAATTTAAAAAGTTCTAGAAAAAATAAACGAATGATTTTTTTTTTTTTTAAAAAATAAATACTTTTGTGTTTAAAAAAAAAAAAAAAAAAAATTATAAAAAAATTAAAAAAAATAATTAAAAAAAAAAATAGTTTTTTTTTATAAAACTAAAAAATAAATTAATATTAAATTAAATATCATATGACAATATTAATTTAATAAATGTTTTATTTTAAAATTACTTTATATTTTATATTTTATTTTATTTAGAAAGAAAAAAAAATTATTTTGATTCAAACATACAAATTGGATTATTTTTAATAAAATTAACATTAATATTGTTACCAAAAATATTACGGATATTATCTAAACCGTATTTGATCATAGTTGGACGTTCGAGAGAAAGACCCCAAGCAGCAACTCTAACATTTTCTGGTAAACCCATTGGGAGTAACATTTCTGGACGGAAAATACCAGAGTTACCTAATTCGACCCAACGTTTGAGCATTGGATGATAACCAAAAATTTCCATTGATGGTTCGGTATATGGATTGAAAGCTGGTTTGAAACGAATGTTATCGATACCTAAACGTTTGAAAAACTCTGAAATGACACCAATTAAATGAGATAATGAAATATCTACATCAGCAATGACACCTTCGACTTGATGGAATTCAGCTAAATGAGTAGCATCTAAAGTTTCATTACGGAAAACACGATCGATTGAGAAATATTTTTTTGGTTTGAAACCATTTTGTGCGAGTTTATATAACATACGAGCAGAAACAGCAGTTGTATGAGTTCTGAGAATATTTTTTTCGGCTTCTTCAATCTTCCAATCATAAATCCAACCTAAGGAGCCATAACCACCAACACTGTGAACTTTTTTAACACGTTCTAAATGTTCATCGGTGAAATCGTGACTGGTCATTGGATCTTTAATAAAGAAGGTATCGTGTGATTCACGAGCTGGATGTTGTTGTGGTTGGAAAAGTGCATCGAAATTCCAGAAGCCATTTTCTACGAAATTAAAAGTTGGCATTTCTTCAAAACCCATATCTAAAAAGATTTGTTTAAATTCGTTTTTAACCTTGCTTAATGGATGACGATAACCACTTTCTGGTACAAGACCCATTGCATTAATATTGACTTTGAATGACTCTTTGCTCCATGATTCATCCTTTAACATATCTGTAGTGAGATCTGATAACTCTTTTGATCTTTTATTGTATTGTTCACCTTTACTAACCTTGTAGAATGACATTTTCTTTTCTTCAACGAAACGAGCTTTCTTGTAATCTGTTAAAATTTTGGCATCTAATTTTGAAAGGTCACCCTCTAAATCTTGTTTGACTGTATCTACAATTGATTCTGCTTTTCTTAAGATTTTACCTTTAACAATTTCAATCCAACCTTTATTCTTTGCTGATCCAAATGCACTTGCACCAAATTGTTTATTTGCATCTGCTGGTGACATACCTTCTGCTGTTAATGATTGATATAATCTTGCTTCTGGTGAACCATTCTTTAAAACTTCTTTACCTGCATCTGTTAAACAATTTACAATTGAATCGATATAATCTAATTTAATGGTATTTAATGATTCCCAACTTTTTAATAAACCAACAACATCGTTATAATTACAACTTGGATCAACTGAATTACTCCAATCTCTAGAGTTTTCAATTTCACCATTATCTAAAGTTGAAAATAATTTTTCATTGAATAATTCTTTATTCATTTTTTTTTGGTTTAATTTAAAATTATAATTAAAAATAAAAAAAAAAAAAAATGATAATATTTTTTAAAAAAAATTAAAAAAAAAAAAAAAAAAAAATTTTTAAAAAATAAAAAAAATAGTTTTTAAAAAAAAAAAAAAAAACGAATAAAGAATTATTTATCGAAGTACAGGTAAAAAAAAAAAACCTAATATTTATATATGTATAAATTTTTATAATTTTATAAAAAATAATTTTAATATTTGTATTTTAAAAATTAATAATTTTATTTTTTTTCTTAAAAAATTATTTATAATATTCTTTTATAATTATCATTTCTTAAAATTTTAATACATCTTTTTAAACACACCACATTTTTAAAACAACATATTTTTAATTTTATTTGGTTATTAGTTTTTATTCCAAAAATATTTAAGTATAGTAATTTATAAAAAAATATAAAATACCTTCATATAGGAGCCAAAAAATTGAAATTTAAAATTTGAAAATTTCAAATCCAATTATTTTGTTGGATATAATTTTTTTTACCAATAATTGTTTTTGGTGATCAAAACGAAAAAAACAATTAATTTAATAATATGATCATATTATTTATTTAATTATTTATTAAATACTATTTATTTAAATATTAAAAAAATAATATAAAATAAATTAATTAAATATATAAAAAACGATCATTTACCATTTTTAATATATAAATAAATAAAATAAATAAAAAAATTAAAATAAAAAAAAAAAAAAAAAGATTTTAAAATAAATAAATAATTTAAATTTAAATTTATAATTAAAAAAAAACAAAACAATAAAAATTTTCAAACTTTTCTATATAATAGTTTTTTTTTGAGCGAATGCAATAATGATAGTAAAACTGGTTACTCAATAGGCATACTAATCCTGGTGGTCTTAGGTTTTGTATGTGAAATTTTTTTTTTTTTTAATTTTTTTTTAAATTTTTTTTAAAATTTTTTTTAAAAAAAAAAAAAAAAAAAATTTTATCTCATTTTTTTTTTTTTTTATTAAATTATTTTTATATTATTTTTATATTTTTATATATATAAATAAATTTACCATGGTATGTGGAAATTAATCATTTAATTTCTTTCAATATTTATTGTTTCATTATAGTGTTTATTAAATAATTTGGATAAAATATAGAATGTTTAAACATCAAAATTTTATTTATTAGTTTTCATTTTGTTTTTACCTTTCGCTTTTCCTTTATTCGCTTTTTCCTTTGTTTAATATAATATCCGATAATATAATCATTTTTATTTTTAATAATTATTTTATTTATAAACAATAGTTTAATAACTTATAAAACTTTAAATAGGAAATAATGTTAACACATCATAGTTTTTTTTATTAATTTTTATTTTACACCACCCACACCACAACACATAGATTTCCTTTTATATTTTTTTTTTTTTTTTTTCATTTACAAATATTAATTTTTTTTTATTAATTTTAAATCAATAGTCAAAATCAGCATATCCATCATTTGCTTCAACTGAAGCTGATACTACAAAAGGTTTCGTCTTATCTGTATCAGGTCCAGTCGTTATTGCCAATCAATTATCTGGTGCTGCTATGTACGAGTTAGTTCGTGTTGGTATTAACAAACTTGTCGGTGAAATTATTAGATTAGAAGATGATACTGCCACCATTCAAGTTTACGAAGAAACCTGTAAGTTTAATATTTAACTTCACTTCATCATCATTATTACTATTTTTAGGATATTTTAAAATTTAAATCGATTATAATTTTAAAAATGATATTAGTTTAGCAATAGTAGTAATGGTAATGGTTGTAATGGTTATTGGTTTACTAATTTTTTTTTTTAATTTCATTTAGCTGGTTTAAGTGTTGGTGATCCAGTTATTAGAACCCACAAACCATTAACTGTCGAATTAGGTCCAGGTATTATGAACACAATTTTTGATGGTATTCAACGTCCATTAAATGCTATTGCTCAAGAAAAAGGCAGTATTTATATTCCACGTGGTGTTGATACTCCAGCTTTAGACAGAAAGAAATTATGGCCATACGAACCAGTTGCTACCCTTAAAGTTGGTGACAATGTTTCAGGTGGTGATGTTATTGGTTTAGTCAGAGAAAATAATTTAATTCTTCATAAAATCTTAGTTCCACCAAAGGAAATGGGTACCATTGTTTCCATTAAACCAGCTGGTCAATATACTTTAGAAGAAGTTTTACTTACCATCGAATTTGATAATAAAAAGAAAGATTTAACTATGATTCACTACTGGCCAGTACGTAGTGCTCGTCCAGTCATTGAAAAACTTCCATGTGATTACCCATTATTAACTGGTCAACGTGTTTTAGATGCTCTTTTCCCATGTGTTCAAGGTGGTACATGTGCTATTCCAGGTGCTTTTGGTTGCGGTAAAACTGTAATTTCACAATCACTTTCTAAATTCTCAAATTCAGATGCTATTGTTTACGTCGGTTGTGGTGAACGTGGTAATGAAATGGCTGAAGTACTTATGGAATTCCCAGAACTCCACACTAAGATTGGTGACAAAGAAGAACCAATTATGCAACGTACTTGTTTAGTCGCTAACACTTCAAACATGCCAGTAGCTGCTCGTGAAGCTTCTATTTATACCGGTATTACCCTTGCCGAATATTTCCGTGATATGGGTTACAATGTTGCTATGATGGCTGATTCAACCTCACGTTGGGCTGAAGCTCTTAGAGAAATTTCAGGTCGTCTTGCTGAAATGCCAGCCGATTCTGGTTATCCAGCTTATTTAGGTGCTCGTTTAGCTTCTTTCTACGAACGTGCCGGTAAAGTTTCATGTATTGGTCATCCATCACGTATCGGTTCAGTTACCATTGTAGGTGCTGTATCCCCACCAGGTGGTGATTTCTCTGATCCAGTCACTTCATCAACTCTTTCTATTGTACAAGTTTTCTGGGGTTTAGATAAGAAATTAGCCCAACGTAAACATTTCCCATCTATCAATTGGTTAATCTCCTTCAGTAAATATATGGGTGCTTTAGATCCACATTATGACACTATGGACGCTGAATTTGTTCCACTCCGTACTAAAGCCAAAGAAATTCTCCAACTTGAAGAAGATCTTTCAGAAATTGTACAACTTGTCGGTAAAGATTCATTAGGTGAATCTGAAAAAATTACTCTTGAAGTTGCTCGTATTCTTCGTGATGATTTCCTTCAACAAAATGGTTTCACCAAATATGATAAATTCTGTCCATTCTACAAGACCACATGGCTTCTTAAGAATATGATTACTTTCAACAATTTAGCTCAAAAGGCTGTTGAATCATCCTCAGCCGATAACAAGATAACTTGGAATCAAATTAGAAATGAAATGAAAGATATTCTTTATAAAATTACTTCAATGAAATTCGCCGATCCAGCTGATGGTGAAGCTGCTATTACCGCCACTTTCTCTGCCCTCAATGAAGAAATGGTCACCGCTTTCCGTAATTTACTTGATAACAATTAAACTGCTTTTTTTTAAAAATAAAATATATAACAAAACAAAATAAAATAAAATTAAATAAAAAAAAACTTAAAATATAATAAAAAAAAAACCTTTAATATTTTCTACTTTTATTAAAAAACTCCCTCACTTTATTCCAAGTGAAACTAAACCCAATAGGGCGAAAGATAGAATGAAAAATGTAATTAAGTAAGGATTCCACTTCCACTGTTGTTAAACCACATTGGAGAATTGTCTGTTAATATCTCTCCAGATTGATAGATAAAAGAACCGGTGTTAACAGGTGCAGAAAAAATAGTGTATATATCTAAAAATAATTGAGCTAATGCATCTATTTTTGCTATATTATTATTTATATAAGAATATAATACTTCAATATCAAATAATAATAAATAAAATGGTTATAAACTATAGTTTAGATTGTAAAAAGGAAAAAAAATTGCAATCTATTTATATAATTATAAAACAAAATTATATACAACCAAAAAAATGGGAAGAATATATCCAAATATAATAAATTAGGACCACAAGTATGGTAGCATTAGAAGACTCATTGGAAGAAAAGTTTGCTAAAAAAATAAAAAATAGAAAATAGTGGGATTCTTGACACTTATAATCCAGTTTCGATAGAATGTCTTAAAGAGAGTTTATTTAATGTCCAATGAGTTTGGAAAAAGAAAATGCCCTAGTTTCCATCAAGTTAATGTAAAGGCTCCATTATTGTGTTGTATTGCCAGTTAATTAAATTTTTTTTTTTAATTTTATTATTTTAATTTTTATTAAGATGTAATAAAATTAAAAATAAAATTTTAAGGCTTTGTAAAAAATAAATAATATAATAATTGGTTTTTAGATATTAAAAAAAAATTTAAATTTATTTTACTAAAACTATTTTTTTGATCTTTTTAAGGTTAAATTTTCAACCATATGTTTTAAAGTTTGATGAATATCTTTGAATTTGGGTCTCTTTTTAGGTTTATCAGCCCAACAAGCTTTCATTAATTTACTGTATTCGCTTGGACAATCGGATGGAACTGGAGGACGTTCACCTTTAGCAACCATTAAAGGAATGGACCAACTATTAACACCTTCGTATGGTTCTTTTCTACAAAAAATTTCCCAAAGTACAATACCAAAAGCATAGACATCACATAATTCAGTATATGGTTCATTTCTAAATAATTCTGGACCCATCCATGAAGAAGTACCAAGATTTAATGTCATTTGCTTTGAAACATCGATTGCACGTGATGTACCAAAATCAATAACTTTAGCGGAATAGTCATCAGTTATTAATACATTTAAACTTTTTAAATCCCTGTGAATTACACCTATTGAATGTAAATATTGCATTGCATTTGCAATGTCTAGTGCGATTGATAATTGAGTGAAATAAGTTAATGGTTTATCTTTATTCAATAGTAAATCTCTTAAGCTACCTCCTTGAACATATTCTGAAACCATAAATAAATACTTTGGATTTTGTTTATTTGCCCCATAAAATCTAGTAAAATTTGGATGATCACTATCTATTAAACTATAGTTAAAAAAAAAAAAATTAGTAATGTGTGTGGGTTTTTTTTTTTCTATATTTCCTGTTACCTCATAATTGTAATTTCTCTATCAAACTCTTCAGTATTAAAACAAAAGTTTTCGGTACTATAAACTTTAATTGCAACATCTTTATTACGGTATCTACCCTTATAAACTTTACCACTTGCACCAACTGCCATTATATCATCTGTACCAAAATGAACATCTTCTTTGGGTAATTCTTTATAAATATTAATTTTTTTACTTAAAACTTCACCTAGAATATCTTCAAATGATTGATATTTTAATAATTCTGTTAATGTTTTTCCATTAATTTTTGGTACATATTTTCCATCGATAGCTGAATTAAAAAAATAAAAAATTAATATAAATTTATTATGATTATAAAAATTAATAATAAATATTTACAATCTGAAGAAAGTGTTAGAGTTGATGAAACTGATAAAGTTGAAAATTTATTTTCAATTTCTTTAGAGCTTGAAAGTGGGGAAAGAGTACTTTGTTGGGTTTTTAATTGTGAATTTGAATTATCCATTTGAGCTTTTGAACCAAATTGGTTTAATAATTGAAGTTGTTGTTGTTGAATTTGAAGTTGTTGTTGTTGTAAATGAATTAATTGTTGTTGTTGTTGATGTTGTTGTATTTTATACAAATCATCTTGAATTGATGCTAAATAATCATTTGATAATCTGGCTGGTTGTATACTATTATTTAAAGGTGGGGACGCTTGTTCACTACTATTACTTCTACTATGTGCATAAAAATTTTTTGGTATATTTGAAATTTGTGGTGATAAAGGAGCTGCTGATGAAGCAATATCAATATTTGATACCTCTGTTGATAATATTGAGGGTGTATTGTTACTACTACTACCGCCTACAACATAAATAATATTGGTAGAATTGGTTGGTACTTGAATTTCTATACCATTGTTTAATGTTACACTATTTTTAGATGGTATTGCTGATGAAGGTGGTGATATCTGAATACTTGGTTTTTTATATAGTGTTAATCCATCACATTGATTACAGAAAAATTCATTATTTGTAAAATGAAATCCACCACGAATTATAATATCGCACTATAGAAAAATTATTAAAAGAAATAATTAATTATTTATTTTATACTTTAATAATATATACAATATAATACTTACACCACCACAACGGAAACAATCATTATGAAAAGTTTTACCTTTAGCTGTAACTACAGTAGATTCGATCGCCAATGAACATTTTACACATTTCTTTGCAAATAAATTTCTTTCACAATCATCACAATAAAGTTTACCCTGTACATTAAAAAAGGACTCTAGGCTATTTTTACAATTTGTACATACAAAACATCCTTCATGATAAACTTTACCACTTGCTTTTATCCTTGCTTGTTTTAATGTACTTTTAGTACAAACAATACAATCATCTTCACCTAATACTATTGACATTTTCTTTATTTATTACAATTATTATTTTTTATTTTTTATTACTATTATTACTATTATTACTATTATTACTATTATTACTATTATTACTATTATTACTATTATTACTATTTTCTATTATCGATTTATTTAATATTTACACAAAAAAAAAAAAAATTTCTCAAGAAAAAAAAAAAAAAAACAATTTATAAAATAATTTAAAAATAATTTACAATCACACACAAACACAACACACAAACACTTATTATTGAGAGGCTAAACTAACTGAATTGAAAAAAAAAAAAAAAAAAAAAAAAAATTGATTTTATTTTTTTAAATTTTTTTATTTTTTTTTTTTTATTTTTTTATTTTTTTTGGTAATATTAAAAAATTTAAAAATAAATTTTGATCAGTGAACACATTTAAATATTTTTTCTTTGAATCTTCACAACTCAAGGTTGTGGAAAAAAACATAATTTTTTAATAATGCATACATTTTTTAGTGATTAAAAAAATTTGAATTTGAATAATTATTGACCCAAACCACTTCAAAAATTTTTTTTAATTTTTATTTTAAGATTTGTATTGTTTAATAAAAATGAAAAAAAATAATAAAAATGATAAAAGAAATCATAGAAAATTAAATAATATGATTACATATATTTTATTTACAATGAAATATAAATTGTAATATTAAACAATCAGAATCAGTGATCAAATATTGAAATTGAGTAAAAAAAAAATTAAAAAAATAAAAAAAAATAAAAAATAAATTTTTTAAAAAAAATTTTTTTTTTAGAGAATTTTTTTAAAAAAAATTAAATTTTTTGTTCATTTTTCTTTTTTTAAAAAATAAAGGAAATAAAGTAATTTAAACTTTATTTCAATAATTTAGCAAAGATAATTATAATATAGATATAGTTTTTTTAAAATGGTAATAATAGATAAGATTTAATAGTTATTTTTATAATCAACCTGTCTAGGACCTATAATCATAAATACCAATATCCCATTTCTTAACGACTAAATTCTAACTTCACACAATTTTAATTAATAATAATATAATAAATAATTATTAGTACAATATTAATAAAATGATTATAATAGTTTACTAATATCAATTTATTTATATTTTTATAGCTTCCATTATCATTATTAAGAACAGGCCAAGGCCATCAAATTGTAAAATCAAAAATTTAATAACAAAAAAAATGTAATCAATTATTAATTAAAATTTTTATATTTTTATTTTTTTTATTTTTCAATATTAAAATATATTATATAGATGGTCGAGCTTAAAAATGGCGAAACATACAATGGATATTTAATAAATTGCGATAATTGGATGAATATAAATTTAAGAAATGTTATTAGAACTTCAAAAGATTCAGATAAATTTTGGAAGATTCAGTCATGTTATATTAGAGGAAATACAATCAAATATATATCTGTACCAGACGAAGTATGTTTAAATATGAAATTAAATGTTTCATCATTTATAATGTTAATAACAATTATGATTACTAATATTCTTTATAATTTATTTATAGATTATTGATTTAGTTGTTGAAGAAGAACAAATTTCAAGACCACATAACTTATCAAAAGGTGATAATACAACTGGTAGAGGTAGAGGCAGAGGTGATTCAAATAGAGGTGGAAGAGGAGGAAGTACAGATGGTAGAGGTGGTGGTGGTGCAGGAAGAGGCAGAGGTGGTGATAGTGGTAGAGGTAGAGGTGATTTTTCAAATAGAGGTGGTAGAGGTGGTAGAGGTAGAGGCGATTTTTCAAATAGAGGCGGCAGAGGTGGACCATTTCAAAATAATACAGCTTAAATAAAATAATAAAACCAAACCAAACCAAACCAAACCAAAAAACCCCCAAAATAAAATATAATGTATAGTTAATATATAATTTAAAACAACCAAACCAAACCAAAGTAATAGTAAATTTAATATTTAATTTACATTAAATTCAATGTAAATTTTTATTTTATTTTTTAAAATTTTAATTGGATTTTCCATTGGAAATTTTATAAATAGTTTTCAATCTTTTTTCTTTTCTTTTATTTTATTATTTATTATTATTTTTCATTTATTTTAGTACAATAGTTATTATTTAACAATAATTTCCAAAATTATTGTAAAAATAAAATAAAATATATTTTATATGATGATTATAGTTATTTATTATTATATAAAATGTGGTTATTATTATTATTGTTGAGAATTATTTTCATTAAAAAACATTTTAACTTCAACCATAAAATTTGCAAGTTGGAATTCTAATTCAGAAACTCTATTTGATAAATCTTCAATTGATTTGTCCTTATTATCTAATGAATTTCTAAATATTTTATTTTCCATTTCTAATATTTTAATTTTGTTTTCAAGTTTATTTATAATTTCTTTTGTTTCATTATTTGTTGTCGTTGTTGTTGTTGTTGTTGATGATGTTATACCATTGTTTAAACTTTTAGTTAGTGTTGATCTATTTAATGATGAAGAGGATACTGCAGAAGTTTTAAGTAAATCATTTGTTGTCATTTGCTGTTGGTTATTTCTATTTGGTGTTAATGGCTTGTTATGAAGTGTTGTTGCTGCAGAAGATTTAGTTGGTGTTGCAGATCTTTGCATAAGTGAAGTCAATGGAGGTGTGTTTGGTTTGGTAGGTGTTACAGGTTTTTGGGATAAAATATTTAATGGAGGTGTATTTGATTTGGTTGGTGTTGGTGGTCTATTTTTAAATGTATTGGTATCATTATTTGTAGAATCAAGTTGTTGTCTTTTTGAAGGTTGTTGTTGGTTTGTTGAAAATCTTTTTATTGTTACATTATTCGAGATTTGTGGTTTTATTGGTGAGCTTGAGATACTTGATAATGACATTGGTTTGTTATTATTATTATTATTATTATTATTATTATTTATATTGTTATTATAGTTATTATAGTTATTATTGGTGTTTGGTATCGTTGTAGCAGTAGTCTGTACAGTTGTTTGAGTTATATTATTATTGTTTTGTTTATTAACTCCATTTTGTGGTAATGATGTTGGTATTTTTCTTGTATTATATTGATGATTTTGTTGGTTTTGAATTGAGGGAGGCAGTTCTTTTTGTTTCTTTAGTAATGCTTGTTGATGTGGTGATTGTTGTTTATTTGGTTGAAGATTTTCTTTTGATTCTGGAGATTTTGATCTATTTGGTGAAATTGATTTTTTTGGTGATGTTGATCTTTTTGGTTCTTTAGTAAATTTAAATGTATCTGGTTTTTCTATATTTATTTTATAATATAAAGTTAATAGGTTTATTATTTTTTGGTGTATCATTTTTTTAAATGGGGTCTATGTTACCTTTTGGTGGTGATAAACAAAAACTAAATCTGTTTTTTTCAAATAAAATAGAGTCTCTAATTTTATTTAAGTCAAATATACTAGCTTTAACATCACTTCTTTCTGATTTTGGATTTAAACCCATTAAATTATCTAATCCACCCCATTCATATTCTTCTTCAAATTGTCTTTTTTTACTATTAATATTTGCCATAACTTTTTTGATAGTATTATTATTATTGGTATTGTTATAATAGTAATTATTATAATAGATTTGGAAAAAAAAGAATAAACAAAAGGTTAATAATAAAAAATAAAAAAAATAGATGATTGTAAAAAAAAATAAAAAATAAAATTAAAATTTTTTTTTTTTTAAATTTTTTTTTATTTTTTTAAATTAACACCAAAAGTGAAAAAAAGCGCAATATACTTTAAAAAGTAAATATTAAAAAATAATATTGATTTATTATTTAAATTTTATATATTATATAAGGTTTATTGATTAGTTTTTATTTATTTAATTTTGAGTTTGTTTTTTGAGTAAATCTTTCTTTATTTAAAATAAATCTTTCGTGGGTACCTTCTCCAATTTTTTCTTTTTCATCAAAAGCTGTAATGTTGAATGAAACTTTTTTACCATCTTGGATATCAGTAATTTCTGCAACGGCTCTAACTTTGAGTGATTTTGGTGTTGCTGCTAAATGTTTGATTGAAATAGTGGTTCCAACGGATGTTTGATCTGCATTTAATTTGCCTGATAAACATTTAACAGAGGCTGCCTCCATTAATGCTATCATTGATGGGGTTGAATAAACTTCAACATCACCACTACCTATATTACAAGCAAGCTCTTTTTCGCTTACAATAGATTCAACTTCACCTTTATCGCCAATATTCATTTCTGCACTATAATATTATTTATAAATTAAAATATTTTTAAAAAAATGGACAAAAAAAAAAAAAAAAAAAAAAAAAAAAGATATTTTTTGTAAAATTAAAATTAAAAAAAAAAATATAATTTAATTTACAAAAAAAAAATAAAAAAATAAATAAAAAAATAAAAAAATAATATTAAACATGAAAATACCAATTAAAGAAAAAAAAAATATATGGATTGAAATATTTTTAGAAACATAAATACTTGAGACATCCCAATGTTTTATATTTCGAGGAAAATAAAAATAATGTGTAATTCATGAAATTTTTATAAAAATAAAAAAAAAAAAATTTTAAAAAAAATTTAATTTTATTTTTTTATTTTTTAAATTTATTTTCTTTTTTTAATAATTTTATTATAATTTTAATTTGTTAAACATAATAGAAACCTCAAATATATATTTGTATATAATAAATAATAATGAATAGTTTTAATAAAAACAGCAATACAGATGACAACAAAGGAATAGTTTTATATAACGGGATAACAACCACGACAGCAACAAAAGAAATAAAAATTGCCGGATTTGGAAATAAAAGATTCACAGAAGAAGAAGCAAATAAGATACAAAAACTTTTAGATACCCAACCAAATAAAATAGAAAGCAGACCAACAGCAGGAAACCGTAGTTATCATTTATTATTATTTTTGTTTATATAATTATTTAAATACTAATATTTTGTAATTATTGTTTTTATAGAGATATCACATTATATAACGGTAGACCAAGCATTACAACAAGCAAACAATATATTTGGTGTAAATGGATGGTCATGCAAAGTTTTAAGTATGTCTCAAGAGAGTTTTGTGGAAGATGGTAGAAATAAATATGTTTTTACAGCACATGTTAAAATAATGTTACAGGATGGAACTTTTAGGGAAACAATTGGTTGTTCAAATACTAAAAATATTACAGATTTTGCAAATGCTAAAAAAACAGCAATTTCAGATGCAATTAAACGTTGCTTAAAATTGTTTGGTGATGCTTTTGGTAATGGTTTACAAAATTCAAACCCAAAGATTAACTTTAATAATAATAACAATAAAGCAATAACTCACGCCACAAATAATAATAATATTGTACATATTAAAAACGAATCAATTACATCATCTCCAATTTCCAATTCACCACCACAAATACAACAACAGCAAGCAATTGCACAAAAACCTCAGGATAATGGTCATTTAAATGGATCACCACCAGAAGCAACAGTTCCATATAATAATAATAATAATAATAATAATAATAACAATAATATCAATATCAATATCAATAGTAACAATAATAATAAATTTAATCCACCCAGACCAACCTATCATCCATATAACAAACCAATAACTCTTTCTCCACCAAAACCTTTTATTAAACCCACACTCCCATCAAAACCACAACAATTTCAGCAACCACCATTAACTGATGTTCATATTGACATCAACATATAAAATAAAATAATATAAATAAACTGTATAATATCAAACATTTTTATCAATTATCTTTTTTTTTTTTTTATAATAAAAACAAAAAAGAATCTTTGAATTCATAATATCTCAAACAAAAAAGGTTTTTATTTATTTTTAAAGTGTAATAATTTAAATATCAGCAAAAAAGATGAGTTTTGTTTAAATTACTTTCCAAAAATAGATTTTTTTATTTTTTTTTATATAATTTAAAATTTTATTCAATTGTTTTTTATTTCAATTTAAACAAAAATCAAATAATTATTCTCAGAAAATACAAGATTATTGAAAATAATGGTTTTTTTTTAAAAATTGTTTTTTTTTTTTTATATTTTTTTAAAATTTTATTTATTTTTTTCATTTATTAAAATTTTAATTTGGGTATTCAAAAAATAAAGAAATGATAGAAATAGAAAGGTTTTTTGGTGGATTATTGAAAGATGAACAACATCAAAATCAATTTGAATCAGATATAGTTTTATTATCGGGTCCCAACCATTGTGGTAAAACATCATTATTATTTCAATATGGATATACCTATGCAAAAGAGGGTTACAGTGTATTATTTATATGCAATAAAAAAAAATTTATAGGATCATTACCAAGTTTTCCAGAAGGTTTCAAAAAAGATGATAATGTATTAAACAAAATTAAAATAAAGTTTGTATTAATAGTTTTCAATTTAATATCTATAGGGCTGCATACTCACCATTCATTTTTTTAATATAGATATATAGAGAGTGATGCAGATCTTAGAAGTTATATCATGGATTTCCCAGCACTATCATTCCTACCAGATTTAATACTGATTGATGATTTTTCACTTTATTTTGGTTCGAATCTTTATGATAGAAATACAGTATTAGGCAAAACAATATCTTTCATTAAAGAAACAATATCATATATTAGGAAAAAGAAAACATCACTTTATAATAATAATAGTAGTGGTAGTAATATGGATGGTAATAACAATTATAATATTAATGATAAAAAACTTTTAGATTGTAAAGTTATTATAACCGATTCAAGTACAACATCAACAATAAGTAATGCAGGTGATGGCGCAGTACCATCAAGTATAGCGAATAATACACAAATGGGTTTAGTCTCGTCAGTTCACCCACGTTTTTTATATATAATGTCAAGATGGATTAATTTGGTAATAATTATAAATGAAACACCTCAACACCCAACCCAACCAATAAACCCTCAGTTTACACCTCAACCACAGCAACAGCAACAGCAACAGCAACAACAACAACAACAACAACCACAGCAACCAAAACTACCATCATTTAATAATTTTAATTTAACAATTTTTAAATACAATAACAACAACAATATTTTATTTAAAGATTATTTAATTAACTATACATTAAAATATTTTGGACCAAATCACCAAAACAATTGTTATGTCACTGAAAATATTCAAAATGTAATTTTAGAAAAATAATACAAACTCCCAGTAAATAAAATAAAAATGATGAATAAAAAAAAGATTACAATAACAAAGCCCACCTGTCATTTTAGATCACAAAATACTTTGTCAAACTAAAATATTATTAAAAAATAATCCAAAAATCTAAATTTTTTATTTTTATTTTTAGTAGTATAGTTTTAAAACTATAAATTTTATTAGTTTCTTTTAAAACTGTTCTATTTGTTTAAAGATAAATATTTTTTTGAATGTTGATTAAAATTGGATTTTATTATTTTGGTTTTAGTGATGTGGATAACTGATTTCGAAATCTTCACAATTGTGCAAAGATGTATGAGATTGTTATCTGTGTGAAAAAACTATCAATTATAAATAATTATTTTAATTTTATAATTTAATAAGAAAAAGATATTCCCTATTTTTATTATAAATAAAATTACAATGAACGCAGATTTCCCCCAAAAAAAATTGATTTTTATTTTTAATTTATTTAATTTTTATTTTATTTTTTTTTCATTTAAAATTTTTTTTTATTTTTTTTTTTTTTAATTAAAATTTTTTTTTTTTCTCTCTATTTACCCAATTCAATTAATTTTTTTTATAATAACAACTATTTTTTTTTTATAATATTCGTGTATATTATTATTTTATTAATATTTTTATTTTTAAACATATTAGTTTTTTTTTTTATTAGCTTTTATTTATTATAATAATACATTCTTTATACAAATAATTTTAATTTTAATTTTAATTTTTTATTTATTTATTTATTTTTATTTTTTTAATTTTAATTAAATTTAATTTTTTTTATTTTTTTTAAAAAAATTTTATTCATCACCAACCATCTACTCTTCATTATTTTATATCAAAATTCTTTTCAATAATGAAAACTAAATCTTCAAATAAAAAAAATGTCACAGTAAACAACACAACAACACCAATTATTTCTACTAATTCCATTCCAGTAAAAAATGAAGAAGATGAATTAGCTGAAATCGAAATTGTAAAGAAACAATTTCAAGAGTTTAAAATTAAAAATAAAAAGCAAAAAGAAGAACATGAAAAAGAAATTAAAAAGAAGTTAGAGAATGAGCAACAGAGCAATCATCCACATCATATTGCCGATCACTCTCATTCTGGTATTAAAAGATCCAAACCATTAGCACCAACTTCTGCATTTCAATTCTACAAAGATGCAAATCCTTCAAAATCACCTGGTTTCCTTTTAGAGAAATGGAGAGAATTGGCTGATCATGAAAAAAAGGTAACTATAATTTGGTAATATTAAATTTTAAATAATATTAATTTTAATTTTTTTTTTATTTTAGCATTTCAATGATATGGCACAAAAAGATAAAGAAAGATATCATACCCAAATGGAGGAGTATGAAAAGATTCACAGCCAAGTCACCCATCAAAAACTTCAAAAGAAACAAATAAAAAAGAAAACATCTGATGATGAATCACAGAATAATGGCCCAAAAAAATTGACTAAAAAAGAGAAATTAAAAAAAGCTCAAGAAGATAAAGAAATTGCAAAACAAGAAAAGTTAAATGGTACAAAGAAATATTCAAAGAAATCTGAAACTGTTGTCACTATATCTTCATCTCCATCTAAAAAAACTGTAAATATTAAAAAATGTAATAATAGCAATGATGATAGTGACAGTGATGACACTGAGGAAGAGGAAGAAGAAGGAAATGATTGTGAAGAAAATGAAGAGGAAGAAGATGAAGAAGATGAAGAAGATGATGATGAAGAAGATGAAGAAGATGATGAAGAAGATGATGACGAAGATGAAGATGAAGGAGATGAAAGTGGTAATGAATCAAACCATAGTGCCTTCGAAGAAGATGTATTTATTGATGAAGATGATACAGATGGATGGGGAGAAATGAAAAGAGGCTTCAAGTCCTCCCATCACAATTCTTCAAATGCAAAACATAACAATAGAAGAGTAAAATGGAATAAATAAAATAAAATTTTTAGAATCAATTTTCATTGTTGTTTTTTCTTTTTTTGATTAGAAATTTTTTTTTTTATTATTTATTTATTATTTCTATTTATTTTTTAAAATGATTTATTTTTATAGCTTTATAACTAAATTAATAAATTTGGGTTACTTCTATTGTTTAAAATAGTATTGTGTTGGCTGTTGTGATGGAATTTGGGAATGAAGAAGAATATAACCACCTTGTGGTTGTTGAAGTAAAATTGGTTGTGGTTGTGGTTGTGGTTGTGATTGAAGAGTAAAGAATGCCCCTTGTGGTTGAGCTGGTTGATATTTAATACCTGGGTAATTTGACTCTTCATCATTTTCAGATTCTTCGTTTGATGATGAGAAACAACATTTGTTATATTTCTTTTCTAATTCATCATTACCTCTTGAAGAAACAATATACTTGGCGATTAATAACATTGCAACATCACTTAAAAAGAACCATGCATAACTACTTGATAATCTGGCACCGAAATATTCGCACCATTTATGTGAATAAAGAGTGATACCTAAACCAACACCACCAGTGACACCAGCAGCTATTAACCATAAAATCTTTTCTAATCTATTATTTCTAAGAAGATAAACAACTTGAAGAACTAAGTAAATACCACATGAGATACCAACAACAACTTCATAAAGAACAAATGACCAAATACCAGATTTAGAACCTGAATACTCGAAAGCATAGTACCATGAGAATAAAAGGATTATAGAATTGAATATGAAGATTAATTTGGTTTTGAATGATTTTGGGTTAATTATACCAAGATCTGATAAACCACAATATAAAAAGAATGTACCAACAGTTGATGTAAGATCGACATCGGCAATGCCAACAAATAATTTAAGTGAGTTTCCAAAATTATTTGAAAAAGAATCTGCTAAAAGTGCAAAAGTCATCATAATACCATACATTATAAAAGTTATTGAATAAATATATGTATCTTTTATTTGTTAATATAATAAAAAATAAATTATATAAGTACAATTTAATCATCAATTCATTATTTTTACTACTATATTTATAAAATAAATACCATCAAACTTTTTAAATAATCTGTGTTTTGAAATACCAATATATAATGCCCACATACATAATGGGATTAAAATTGGGTCAAATACTTTAAATCCATGATATGTAACCCAGTCATAACAAATACCACTCACACTTGAACTACCTTCAGAAAAATCACTGCTATAACTAT